GGATATGGTTTTTTACCCTTGCTTTTTGTTGCTACCAAAGCATTTATTAGTGGGGCCTGAAATTTCGCAGCATAGGGGATGAAACGCCGATAGTAATTTAACATTCCAAGGAATCTCCGCATGCCTTGTACATTTTCAGGGGGTTTAAAATTGAGAATGGCTTGGATACGATCCTGAGGAGGTCGTGTACCGTCTGAACTGATGTGATATCCGAGAAACATGACCTCACTTGCACCAAGGACGCATTTTGATGGATTAATGACAACTCCATAATCCTGGAGGCGCTTGAAGAGGGTGCGAAGGTGCACCATGTGAGTGGCCGCATCTGGTGAAAAAACCAAAATGTCGTCTATGTATGGAAAACAGAAATCGAGACCCCGTGTGACCTCATCGATAAAACGCTGGAACGTTTGTCCCGCGTTTCGTAAACCAAACGTCATGAAGCAAAATTCGAAGAGGCCAAACGGAGTTACGATGGCAGTCTTGGAAATATCTTCTTCAGAAACGGGAATCTGATGATATGCTTTCACCAAATCAAGTGTGCTGAACACCTTGGCGCCAGAGAGATTATGCGCAAAATCGTTAATGTGCCGAACGGGGTACTTGTCTGGGATGGTCCTCGCGTTAAGGGCGCGGTAATCGCCACAGGGACGCCAGGAATTGTCCTTTTTGAGGGTCAGGTGCAGTGGAGATGACCAAGCACTTTTAGACGGCCTTGCAGTTCCACTTCGTATCATTTCTTCAAATTCTTTTTTAGCTGAAATTAGCTTGTGAGGTGCTAAGCGACGAGGACGACACGACACAGGAGGGCCATCGGTTGTCTGTATGTGATGCACAGTATTGTGTTTGATCACTCTCGGTAATCCAGGAGGTCGAACAATGTCCGGGAATTCAGAAAGTAATGATGCATAATTTGAACTTCCTACAACAACTGCCTTGACGCTCGGCTGCTCTACTGCAAGACGTGAAACTGGACAACATAATCCAGTGGTACTGTCTATTAACTTTTTGTTGTGACAGTCTGGCAACAGGTGATAATGTGCCAAAAAATCGGCTCCAATTATAGCCCGTTGAACGTCGGCAACTACGAGCAACCACAAAAAATCTCTACGCAACCCCAAGTTAAGACATAGATTGATGGTGCCATAAGTTCTAATCGTACTGCCATTTGCAGCACTGAGTTCGTAATCCGAAATTTTGCGCTGACGTGAAAGCCAACTATGAGGAAAACAGCACAAATCGGATCCGGTATCTATTAGAAACTTGTGTTTGGTAACTTGGTCGGTAACAAAGAGACGGCGGCTGAGATGCGAGCAATCAGCTGCCGCCACTACTGACTGCTTTTCCGGTTTTCCGGAGATGATGTCCAGGTACAGCCAGTAAAGCATTTGGAGGCCTTGTGCCCAAACCGGCTGTGGTACCAACATAACTTGATTCCGGCTGGCGAAATGGCGCGGGAGTTCCTAGGTCTAGAGCGGCTGCGATCGCGTGAATAATTTTGGTCGCGCGCAGATAGAGCATTTACCATTTTTGTTAACTCCTCAACTTTATTATTCAAATTTGCGAGCATGTCTGGTGCAGGGGTACCAGTCGTAGGCACGCTGTCATACGAATACGAAGCTGCTGTGGAGCATACAGCGTTGGGTAATCCGGTGAGCTCGGTAATTTTATCCGCCAAGCTTGCCAACTGCTCAACAGTTAATTCGGGCTGTGAAGCCAAAATTACCTGTACATTTTGAGGCAAACGTCTCAGCCACAACTGTTTCAAAATGTTTAGGTCTGTCAAGGATGCCCCTGCAAGAGACTTTAAATGACGAAGAAATTGGGATGGTTTCCTATCCCCGATTTCTTCATCGCTTAGAAGTTGGCGAACCTTTTGCTCTTCGGAGAGTGATAACCTTTTTATAAGCTCACCTTTTAGTGTATCGTATTGTTTTCCTTTTTCAGGAGGATTAATCAGAATGTCTTCAATTTCGACTGCATACTTATGGTCAATATGCCCGACTATGTAATTATATTTAGTGGAATCAGCAACAATTCCAGCAATCTCAAACTGGGCCTCTACCTGAGCAAACCACACAGCTGGTTTGTTAGGCCAAAATGGAGGCAATTTTATTGACACCTTGTATGTCTCAGCGCTAGTTTGCTGCTGATTTGCATTTATTTTGCCAGAAGCTCCTGTACCTGTGCTGTCATCCATGATGTATGTCACAATGAACACAATAAATTTAAAAAAACCGAATACCACACGATGCAAAACAAATAAATTGTATGTTACTCTATACTCTAAAAAAAAAATTTTGATATTAATATTGTATTATTATATTTTAAGTTGAAAAAAAAAATCTCTTTCATATATCCTAAATTTAAAAAGAAGCTGTTCCAGTTTCAATAAAATATTCCAATAATAAACACAATCTTAAGATTGTAAGTCAAATGACATAAACATATAAATTAAAAATAATCAAGGTCAGAAGTTATTTGAACTAAAATAACTTTATATTTACTTAAATGTCTCCGTAGGTGGTGAATCTTAAAATACCTATATATTATTACAACTTAATGTCTGATTAACAAAATTATTTTTCAGTTTAAAGGAATTGGTTATTAAACTAATTCAAAACCAGGTATAAAAAGTTACTAAGCATCAACAACTTTCACAAAGTTAATTATAAAAGTTATAAACAAAGTACATGCAAACAACACTAAAGATTTTCCTTTATAGTTTTAATTGTTCCACAATGTTGCTTATGACGTTGATATAGTTAGACACACACACACACACACACAGGTTAATGCAATTATTGTTCATGCTCTTGGCAAAGGGTGCAGACCCAAAAAGTTGTATCGGCCGAATATGGTTAGTAAAAATGATTAATGGAAAAATGTTACTTGATAAGCTCTTCTCGTGCGTATGATGAATGAAGAAAACAGTTGCAACACATAATGCAGCAAACATGCAGGAAGGGAGCCACAACACCAGGTATGTTATATCTAGTAGATTGCTCCTGCGCCTCGCCGCTGACACGAAACTGTTCGGAGTCACCAATGTTGTGGATCGGGACCAATCCACTATTTTCAGTTTGTTCAATGAAGCGAGGACTATGGTAAATAAAAACACTGTTGCGTAGTTGAATTAAGTTTGTCAACACAGTTTTAACAGCTTAGAAGTAATTGCGTATTATCTTTAGAACAAAAAACCACAGAATAACTTGGTTGAATCACATAGACTAAAAAATCATTTATTGGAAAACATAGACTAATAATTTTAATTTAAGCAACATATAAAAATACATCCGCCACAGTATTAGTGTAAATGATTTTTCGAAAATCTATGTGTTCATACCACATTTGCAACCCAGAAATGTGTGCATTTTTGTCAGTTAACACCTTTGTTAGGATTTGTATTTTTGATGTGAATCAGAATTCCCGTGTCAATCGATTTAACATTACTGGAAACCTATATTCATGCAAATAAGTAGATTTTTGCAGTTTTGTCAGATAACACCTTTGTCCACTCACCCCTTTAATTATTAATGACACGACAAACCCTGTATCTTCAAAGAACTTACGAACTTTGGGAGAGGAAACCACTAACCGTATAGAGGTACAACACAAGAAAGATGCAGATAGGTATAATAAGCATAGGAAGCAAGGGAAGAAATATATGATTGGGGATCTAGTACGGTTAGAAAGGCAAGTTCCACATGACGGCCAATCTCAAAAACTAGTAATAAAGTACCAAGGTCCATATCGCATCATTAAGATACTTGATAAGGATAGGTCTTTTGTTGAAGACACCCCCTTATCGCGCAAAAATAATCGACAATACGAAGGTATAGTGGCTATAGATAAAATTCAACCTTGGATGAGCTTTGATAGAAATTTCGACAGTAGTTCAAATAATGATAATGACTAGTAACGGATATAATAACGATAAGTCTATTAAACATCCAGTAATTAATAATTAAATAAAGAAAATATAAAATAAGATATCATAATACATATGTATTATTAGGGGAACAAATATGTTGTACTGTTTTTGTTTTCATATATATAAACATGTTATTACTGTTATTATTTCTTGTTGTTTTATTATATTTTAATATACACAACTCTGTGTGAAGCGCGTAGGGACTCGCGAATTACAGGAAGGCCGAGCTGTGAGTATAATTTACTTTATTATGTCTATTTCATGCATGATAATTAATGTTTAAGTAGCCGTTTATCAAATATTAAATAGTCACTGCACTTCCGGCAAGATGATCCTGTGTTAAGCATTTCCTGGTAATATTGAAACAATATACCTGATATCTACTATATAAAAATAAGTCGGGTTTTCCTTCCTGACGCTATAACTCCAGAACGCACGAACCGATTTCCACGGTTTTCGAACCGAATTCAGGAAAAATTAAAAAAAAAAACTTCTTTTAATCACCAAACGAAATGTTACATAAAACGAAGCCATCTATCTGGTGGCGAAACGGAGTTCGCCTGGTTTGCTAGTTATTTATATAATAATATATGTAAAAGCTAAAATAATGGTAAATAAAATATTTAACTGTTAATGATTTGTACTGATTTTATTTGTTTGTAACTTATTTTCTTTCGGCGCGTTTTGACACTTCCGGCCTACGGGGAGTGCCAATAACGCAAGATGGCGAGGCATTCAGTGTTCATCGGTCGTGTAGTGAATAGCTTGGAAACTATTAATATTAGGAGTAAAATTGTGTACCGAAGATTAAGAGTGAAATAAAGTGTCTAAATGCAGTTGGTTGTTTGAAATTTATACTGACTACAATACTAATTTCTTATATTTTAATGAAAAATGCAAAAAGGCGAAAAGTAAACAAAAGAATCTTAGAGGTAAATGCTAATGATTATTTGGGATTAAGTCGTATAACTTAAATATATTTACAAAAGTCGGATTTTACCATTAGAATATGAGCAGAGTTTATTACAATACATTTGAATTTTCCCTCTATTAACTATACACTCACAGAATGTGTTGCTGCTAATGTTATGTCAAACGGCTGCTCTTCTCCATCGTCATCATTGTCAGTTTCCTGGTCGTCCATGCCAGAGGGTCTCTCATCAAGTACGTCCCCTGTGTTGTTGTGCCCATTTTCATCTCTGTTTGGGTCATTGTGATCATTGTCTCCATCGACTAAGGGAAAATTAACAAAATATCAATTTACAATAACAAGAAACAAGGTTTGGGAAAAATATTTAATGTACTAAATTTAGGAATACACTATGAGTTTTCTATCACATCTAAATCAAATTCTACAGAAGGGTCAAACAAACAAAATCTTATAGTTATATTCAAAGAAATGTGTTATTCTTATTATTTTATTTCAATGGAAAGTATTATTGGATTGTTTTATGTAAACGAAGAAAGAAGAAGGGCAGAGAGGTGATCTAAACTGCCGTAAGCTCACCAACGCCGAGCCACGGGCGGCGGTCAAATAACCCGTCCAATTGGTCTCAGTAACCATGAGGAACTAAATACCCTCAGAAGGGACTGACTCGCCAAGCCGTTTTGCCAACGTGGCGAGTTTAGGCAATAAACCTTCATGGAAAGCTCTAAGAAACCATGGCCCCCAGTCCCCAGCAGTCTTACTATTCCGGACTACGGCAGCGGTCATGGTTACGGTAAGACGGGGGGTGCGAAGAATCACTGGAAGAGATCTGGCTGCCTCACACAACTACTTTTGGCTACGTATAACACACGGACTCTGAGTACACAAGCGCACGTAGAAGAACTGGACAGAGATCTTACACATATAAAGTGGGATATAATAGGATTGGGAGAGGTCAGGCGGGAAGGCGAGGACACCCTTAAACTAAGTTCAGGTCATGTGCTTTATTACACAGGACATAGTAACTCTTCGAAGGGCAGCGTCGGTTTTCTAATACACCAACGACTGGCGAGCAACATTACTACCTTGAGCAACATATCTGCACGTGTCGCATACATAGTAATTAAAATCAACGCCCGATACTCGATTAAAATAGTTCAGGTATACGCTCCCACATCATCACACACCGAAGAGGAAGTAGAACTATTTTACGAGGACATAGACAAGGCCCTACAAGCAGGAAATAAAACACAATATAATATAGCCATGGGTGACTTCAATGCAAAGATAGGGGCCCGTAAAGAGGCAGAAAATTGCATTGGTTCATTTGGAATTGGTTTAAGGAACAACCGTGGACAAACATTAGTCAACTACTTGGAATCAAAGAAATTCTATGCCATGAACACCTTCTTCCACAATTAACTGTCAAGAAAGTGGACCTGGGCTAGTCCTGATGGAAAGACGAAGAATGAAATTGATTTCATTTGTACAGACAGAAAACACATGATCACTGATGTCACCGTACTCAAAAAACTTAAAATGAGTGATCACAGACTAGTACGAGCCACAATAAGGATCAATACTAGAATGGACCGACGTAAACTCCTTAAGAAACCTCTCACAAATCTCATAATATCTGAAGGAATACATAAAGAATTCGAGGAGAAGCTAAGTCTAGCTTTAAAACGAACTGACGTTGAATATTTCGAGACAAGCCTCAACGAGAAATATGACAGCTTCATAGCCGCTACTACAAGAACTGCTAATGAAGTATTCTGTCGGACTTCCCGTGTTAAAGATGACGTGACTTCCTAAACGAAACAGCTGCTGGAACTTAGAAGGAACCTAGGATCAGAGAAACAAAACTCTGAAGAACATCGAAACCTAAACAAAAATATATCTAAGTCATTGAGACGAGATATACGTAACAGAAACACCAATAAGATACAGCGCTTATTCGAAAAAAATCGAGGACCCAAAGTTTTTAGTAGGGCTACTAGCAACGGAAGAAGCCAACTAAATAAACTAGAAAATTGCACAGGGCAAATAGTCACTGAAACTTCTGGGCTGCTAAGTATAATAGCTGAATTCTATGGAGACTTATATAACACTTGCAAACCGACTGTCGTGGACACTGCTGATAAACGCGCACCTCTGACAAGACACTATACAGAGGATATTCCTGAAATTAGTATCTATGAAGTCAGACAAGCGCTAAAACAACTAAAGCAGTATAAGTCACCAGGAGAAGACGGCATAACGACGGAACTCTTAAAAGCAGGTGGTCGGACAATTCTAAAAGAACTTCGTTGGATATTTAACGAAGCGCTTTTCACTGGCAACATACCGAACAAGAGGCTTGATAGTATTGTTGTCCTGTTTCATAAGAAAGGTCCCAAGACAAAACTTAAGAATTATCGCCCTATCTCGCTGCTAAGTCAAGTGTACAAAGTATTCTCACGCATCATTACATCTAGGATTACAAATCGGCTAGATGAGCAGCAGCCCAGGGAACAAGCGGGATTCAGAAAATGTTATGGTACAACTGATCATATAAATAAATTTTCAAAGGTGTTGGCCACAGCATCATCTGTCCAAATAATCTTGTTGACTATTTTTAAAGAATATGTGTGTTCATTAAATTTATTTCCTTCAGTTTCATTAATAATTATATTCCAAAATGTCTTTATTTTAGTATCTGATAGACTAATTTTAGATAAACACTTAGCTTTTGCTATGGCACACACTTTTTTAAAAGTTTCTGAATAGTTAATTACATATTCTATTAATTTAGGATCAGATGAGGTTGCCTTGAGAGCATATAATTGATACAATTTATCTCTACTTTTGCAAATACCAGGTGTGGCCCAATAAGGGTTGCCATCCGTCTGGGTTTTCCCGGATTTGTCCTAGTTTAAGGAACGTCTGGGGAACGTCTGGGCTGGGTTTCATCCAGAGTTCGGGTTTGAAAAATTACATGTCATGGGCCGATTAATCAGTCAATTTATATTTCTTTGAAAATATAAAATCTCTACTGACTCTGAACCCATAAATGTTGGCTACCCACAAGAATCAGTTCACGCTGTTTATTTTGCAAATCACAATGATGTTTGTAGCTAACAACAACATTCGTTGCTGTGCGCACGACAGTACTGGCGACACTGTTTACGCTGGTCAGCCAAATATCTCTTGGACGGAAGTAGGCAAACTTGTGTCAGAGATTGAGATATCGCTAGATCAAGTCTTGAATTGGGGCCTGGCAAAAAGTGTGTGCGTTCACCGCGATTTGTACCCCGTTTGTAGTGGTACTTTATTTCCAGGACACCCTCAACATCACTAAAACATCGGCATTCCAGGAGTTGATATCTCCAATGTAGTACAACTCCAAGATCATTTGGAAGGTAAAACAAACCAGCCTGCAAGTAGATATACCTTGGGGTGCTCAATAGAGCGAGAAAGTACTTCAAGCCTAAATATCGATTGTTGCTTTACAAAGCAAAGGTTCGGCCGCATGTGAAATACTGTTCTCACTTCTAGGTTGGAGCACCCCAACAGCAGCTAATTCCTCTTGAGACTGGTTACAAAAGCGGGCTGTTCGACATATCAATGATCCTGAGTTCACTGAAGCTTTGCATTGCATTCCCTTAGCATATGCAGAGATGTTTCGTCCTTGTGCATGTTGTACAGTTTATACAATAGAAACTGCTCCAAGCAGCATTATTAAATCTGGTGCCAGAAGCCATGTTCCTTTTCTGCACCACACACAGCAGAAAGAAGTTTCACTCCCACCATCTGTAAGTTTGGCGTTCAAGTATTATGCGTTGCGCACGTTTCTTTCTCTTGCCTACCAGCAAGAAATGGAACAAAATATCCTCGGCATGTTTCCCTTATAGCAAGATAATATGGTGGCCTTCAAAATTTCCTTCAGAGCTGGCAATCATGAGTGGTGCTGCAAGTCTTTATAGGCGCCAGTGATCATTTACCTTCAGATGGACTGTTAGCTTGTTTGCTTTGATGCAAGCAAACAAGCTAACAGTCCATGAAAAAGTTGATTTATCATATTTAAAACTACTTATTTATAATACTTAGTTTATGTTGACCTATCCGGGTTCTATTTGCCAAATTTCAGAGATGGCAACCCTATTCCCAATCACTAAATTTCTTTTTAGAGCTATGGCAATTAATTGATTTGCGTTTGAATATTTTAATTAAAATAAAAAAAACCTTTATTAAAGCTACCAGTTTACAAAATTTGTTTGAATATTTGTTTTTTTTTCTTTTGTGGCGAATGTAGCGTGTCAGTGAGTCAAGGCCTCCCCCAGCCTCTACAGGATGTCCAGCCGATGCTCGAATCTTTGGAGAAATGCTGCTTAAACTTTTAGCCACTTAGATCTGTTTAGGGCTATTCTTCTCCAGTAAACTCCCACCGTCTGTTTAATCTCGTCTGCCCATCTAGCAACTTGTCGTCCCCTGCTTCTTTTTCCATCTCTTGGGTACCAGTTGGTAACAACTTTACTCCATTTTTCTGATTGGTTACGTATCATGTGGCCTGTGCATCTCCATTTTTGTTGGTCTATTCAGGTCAAGATGTCAGTTACTTTGGTCTTCTGTCTGAGGTCTTAATTTTTCCATCTATCTTTCTTTGTTATTCCTAACATACTCCTCTCCATAGCTCTTTGACAGTATTCAAGCTTATCTCGGTGTTGTTTTGTTAGTGACCAAGTTTCGCATCCATATGTCAGGCATGGTAGGATACAGGTATTAAATACTTTTCAGTGATATGCTTAGGTCTCTAGCTTTGGTCATCTCCTTCAGACTCCAATATTTCTTCCATCCATTGGCTATCCGTGAGTTGACTGCTTTAGAAGTTTGATCTCTAGCTGAAATAATTTGACCAAGATAGATATATTCTTGCACATACTCCAAAGTGAGATTGTCGACTTGAATAGCAATTTTAGATGAGTTGGTTAGAAGTTAAGTTTGATCAGGGTTCATCTTTAGTCCAACTGATAGGCTCTCTTCGGATAATTCCTGTATCATTCTCTCCAGGAACCTTGGGTCTTCTTCGAAGATCACAATATCGTCTGTGAACCTTAGATGACTTAGCCTTCTTCCATCTATCTTTAACCCATACTGATCCCAGTGGAGCTTGCGGAAAATGTCTTCCAAAACAGCAGAAAAAAGTTTTGGTGATAGTGGATACCCTTGTCTTACTCCTCTTTTTATGTAGATTTTTTTGCCTAGTGATTCTAACTTTATTTTTGCTGAACTGTTTTCGTAGATTTCTCTTAAAACTGCAATATTTGTTACGGACACTCCTTGTTTTGCTAAAGTTGACCAGATAGTTTGGTGACTTACAATATCAAAGGCTTTTGAGTAGTCTATGAAAGCAATATATATAGATTTGTTATATTCGTTATATTGTTCCGTGATCTGTTTAATGGTGTGAATGTGGTTAATTGTTGAATATATTTTCCTGAATCCAGCTTGCTGAGCCTGAGATATTCAGCCTATAGAATATTTTAATTAATTCATCTTTAATTAAATTGAATATGTAGATTACATACAAAATACTATGGCTCAGCTTTCCATTAGCTGTGGTTGAGTAGCAAGCTGAAATTTTTGTCACGCATTAAAGTAATAATTATTAGAAAGGCGCAAACTAATAGCACTCAAAAAAATAATAATTGAAAATTGATATTTTTGTAGGTAGTGTAGGTTTAGTCAATTTTGCCAGACATTTTGATCAGTTCTGTCATTTTTTCATGCAAAAATAACATGTTTCTCGTTGTCTATGGAAAAAATATGTTTATTATGTTGGTTCTATTCTCAAAATGACAGATATACTGGGATTTTATGTTTGTTTTGAGATCCGTCAAGCAGTCTGTGTTCATCGGTAAATATTATATTTGCTATTGTTTACTTGGTAAATAAAAACTAATATGGGCTCAACACTTAGAAAAAAAGGTAAATGTGGCTTTACAACAATCTTTAATTCAGAACCGACTTAGTCAACCCTGCCACACCGTGCTTGTGACTTTGTCACGCAAAGGCGGAGGGGCTGCTTTTGCCGCAGCGCCGGAGATAAGGCAGAAGTACTGGTTCTTACCTTAGATTAAAACAAAAAGGGTAGATACGGTACGCTCATACTTGCATCAAACAAAAACTGATCCCACGGCAGCGCGAACAGGACGGCGAGATCCGCGTCACTGCATTACCGACCCAAACAAAACAGCGCGTTAAGTTTTAACAGCAGCGCGAACGCGACGGTGAGATCCGCGTCACTGCACTACCGACCAATCAGGCGACCATTACTCGATGTCACTACCGAATAATTTTCAAAACAAACAGCAATTTTTATGAAAAAATATATTTTATATAGTACTTACGCATGAAAGTGATGCTGTGGGTTTTATTTTTAGTTCTTGAGCAATTTAAGTACTTTTTAAAAACACACTTAGGCATTGTTTTATCATATAAACACAAAATATTAGCAATATTTCTTTTTGGCGTTCACATATACTTCGTTTGCATGTCAAGTTGTGACTAAAGCGATTAGGGTCGTAGAATTACAATTCATGCGGATCACTTTTGTGAGGCTAGTGCCGTATCTACCCTTTTTGTTTTAATCTAAGGTTCTTACTTCCCTAGTCCTTGTATCCCAAAAATTAATCAATATTTTGGTAAGGTTAAAAAAAAACCGGCTAAAATCGGTAATTTAGTGGGGCGGAGTTGGGGACCCCCCCTCCCTCCCACATCAAAACTACCCCGAAATTCAACCAGAGCTAATATTTTATGATAAACATTTTCATGTTTTTTTTTATACTTGTTTGTGTAATTGGTCTACGAGTTAGGTCATGTTTGGGTGAAGCATGATGTGTTAAAGAGAGGCTAATTGTCCGCTATGATCAGAATTAATACAATTTATTAAAACATTATTATTTACAAAATGCGCAGGTACTGAAATAAGTGTGTTAAAATATATCTTACCATTTTCTTCCATAATACGTCTGAGGAGTTCTCTTAGTAGCGCAATTTTGCTTACTTTCTATTACCGCTTTTCTCAAATTAAATTAACTATATTTTTTGCATGCAAAATTCAGAAAACCGTGTTTTTGGTTTTGTTTTCCTTCGGGTTTTTTCTTTTTTTTGTTTAGGTCTGTTTTAAATCCTGTTCTGCTAATACTTTTACTGACGTTTTCAATAAAAAAAATACTTCCTTTTAGTAAGTCACTAAACATTTCAGATGCAAAATAAACATACATCTTTTACCAAAATAATTAACTCAGTTTTTATTTCTTTTAAACTTTTTTTTTCTAAATTGAATCTTTTGAATATCTGGATAATACAAATAATAATAAAATCCATCTTTGTAAATTGACTTTTCGTTTTAAAACATTCTCCGGTTATTAAATGTCAAACTTATTCATAATCTGTGCTGTGTTTCTTACGACGTTTTTTGAACGCGTGATCGCATGTTATTTTTTAGACGAGTGAAAGAATTTGTATTTCCTCGATAATTGTCGTCGCGTTTGAGAAATGTGTTTATCTAGTGTACGCTCATGTAAGATTACTTAAAATGATCAGAAAAATAGTGCAGTGTTACGTCTTCATATTGACTTTATTGGATATATCACTCAACACCAAATTGACAGCCCAGGGAAAGAGCCATGGTAAAATCGATTTAAAGTTCTCCTATTTAAAATAATAGCGACCCTACAGAGGTCTGTTAAGTTTAATTTATACGAATTCTTAGTGTGTAAACAGTAAGCTGCAGGATTCGCGGTCACTTGATGTGTTATTTTAGACTGCGGCTGAATCGTATTTGTTGTTCGATTTTCCTTCACCGTGTGACGGTATTTTAGTTGCAACAGTAAGAGGAACAAACTATTGAATTTCCTCAATAAAAAACCTGTACCTATTTTAAAAAAATGTGTAATTAATATTAACTTGTCATTTAAAATAATGATTATCTTAATTTTTATGATGTAGAGGGTAGTATCCGATATTGCTGATATTAATATCTAAGAACTTATTGTCAGAATTGTTCAAATTGGTCATGACCATCATTAATAAAAAGAATAGAATAGCTAGAAAATTGTCATATAATTATTTCTTTCATTTTCAGATGTTACTGTGCACGATTCCCTTTTAGAAGGGATAACTTTTCAGGTAATTTTATTCTTATAGTAATTTATGTTATGAACAGGATTGCTACCATGTAAATTGTTTTTTGAGAGTCCATGATAATACTGTATACCTGCAAGTGCCATGATCGCTAAGTAACTCCGATGTTAGTGACCATGAAAGTTAAAAATTAAATTTTATCTTTTATCACATATTTAAGTTTTGAATAATAATTACACTTAATAGAATACTGACTCATTAGTATTTACCTTTATGTTGAGTTACATATAACTACAGGCTTGTGTTAGCACCAATTTTTGTATACTAAACATCTAATTTTCATGTAAATAGAATAATTAATATAGATGGAGTTTATACAAACTATTGTCAATTCTGGCATGATTATCTAAACCTAAACTTATATTTGAGAACAGTACGTCTTTGTCATTCTCTATACAGAATATAAAGGAGAGCCTTATGTTAAATTTAGTTTTAAGTTTAAAGAATCATGCCAGCATTGATACCACTGTCTGTATGGCTTAAATGCAAATATTTCTGTGTTGTATTGAACATGCATATATGAAGGTTGAAGTAACTCATTACCCATTTTTTTATTTAACTAGTTAACTGAACATGCATTTTATTGAATTATTTTATGTAGTGATTCAGAAGCTTTTGATTTTGTTTTAGCTTGTAAGCCCAAAGGTATGTTCATAGTGACTTTGTTATTTAATGTTTTTAGTGCACTTTTAGATAGGGTAAAATATTATATTAAAAATGTCACTTAGTTACATTACATAATTCAATCAAATCAGACATTTTTTGACTGATTTTCCTTTTTATAAGTTAGACACACCAAAATTTATTTCATTCTTTATATATAACTGAAATTCTGGTTTTAATTTGTATTAGTATAAGAAACATAAATCCTTACACAGATTCACTGTTTATCATCCCATCACAGGGTTGTCAGAGCATCAAAGTTAAATTCATTGATGTACACATCACTGTTACATCTAGATTAGTTGTCTCTAAGTTATTGTCGAAAACACTACTATATCCAATACCTACAATAGTTTAGAGTGTACCCTGTCAGTACCATATCCTATACCTACAGTAGTTTAGAGTATACCCTGTCAGTACCATATCCAATACCTACAATAGTTTAGAGTGTACCCTGTCAGTACCATATCCAATACCCACAATAGTTTAGAGTGTACCCTGTCAGTACCATATCCAATACCTACAATAGTTTAGAGTGTACTCTGTCAGCTAGTGGTAGGGGGTGGCAAAATTGTACAGCAAATAATATGCATAAATATTTTGTACACTCCCAGTTGCCACCAGTGTTTTCAGTCACTTAAGGACTCTGGAAAATATTGCCTTTCCGTCAGTCAGTATAGTACCATCTCACCATGTGAACTTCCTTGATATTTTTCATGTGTGTCATAGTTGATGCCGAGGGGTTCTTAGGGTGTGCTGAATAAAGGTGACAAAATCATCTCAGCCAACAGAAGCGCGCACTACGCAATTAAGTGTGTTTTACTAGCATTTGACTAGTATTGAGCATGATAAAGCATTGCGTCCTGTAGGAATGGGGCAAGGAGTCCCCTGCAGCGGACGCGGACACGGGCGGCACGGGCGAGGCGCTGCGGTTGTCGCCGGCGTCGCTGTCGTTCGGACGCGCCGCGCTGGCCGCCGCGCACCACCTCACCGTCACCGTCACCAACACCGCCAACACCACCGTGCATCTCGCCTCCGTCGCGGGCACCACGCCTGACTTCCACGCTTCCTTCTTTGAATCTAAGGTGACACCCTCGATGATAGAAATCATGTAATTCATATTTTAAAGTGAAACTTTTATTACTTACATCACCACAGTTTTTTTGTTCACCTTTAGCAAGTTGCATTACATTTTTAATTGTTATTAAATAATTCAGACGGAAGGCCTGGGTTCGATTCCCAGCCGAGGAAGGACTTTTTTGTGTACCACTTTTTATAAGCCAGAGTAACATCATAATTTGCATATACATAAAAACAGTTCATTCAATTCTTTTAACATCATGTGGGGTGTAGTTATTTGCTGCGCCTTGAACTACTATGTATGCCTTGGCGGGGCTGTGTGTCTGTAGATAAGTTTCTTATTCGTAAAAAAAGCAACAAAATAAATTGGGATGCCAGTAATGACATATGGATAAGGAGCACATTCATAACGTTCTGTGTGGTAAAGGGCCGGACCTTACTTTATCTGATTAAAATTGAACGAAAACTTAATATTCGCGTCAGGTTATCTGCACAGGCGCTATTGGCCGAATACCACTCGCCACACATACTGCATAATGACGTCGTTATAAACCACAATAATGCTTTTTGTTCCCGTAACTATCCCATTGCTGTAAATGTCTTGATAAATGCGACGACATAAAAATCGGATGCAATAGGTTAAAATATAAGTTCCCGAATACAGGCGGTCGCCACTCTTCATCGGGCGTTGTTGTATCTTGATGCCTTTTTGATGCCTGTTCTGCGTGTGGTGGCTGGCAGACGGTCGTCTTACCACTTCGTCACATCTTTGCATTATTTCGTTTTCATATCCTTGTATTATTAAATCTTCACCATCAATTAACGTAGATTATGAAAGGTTATTTTACCTTTTTTAAAACAATGAGGGTTTACAGGAATACGTTACTAGTTCGCGTCACTCTGGTATGAATGAGATATTGGTGCGAATTCACCGAGAGAATAATATTATAAGTGCTTATAAGATAAAAACAAAAAGGGAAGATACTGCACGCGCAAACAAGCACCAAAATAAAATATGCTCCGACTCAACTACATAAGCAACTCTCACATACGCACACGTCTGTAAATAAACATGCAATCGAGCGAGTGAGACAGAACTGACGTTTCAACGCAGCGCGAGCGAAACGGTGAGTCCGCGTCCGATTCCGGACTGTTGCTGTTGGACGGCTGAGCTGTATTGTTGTCCTTTTCTTGATAACAAATAACAATTACGTAAATAACATTCAGGACAAACCGTGATTTTTGAGATAAAATGATTTTATAGTTTTACGAATGAAAAGTGTTGCCGAGGCCATCTTGAACTATTTGTGTTCTTTATAAAAGCATCGAAGGTATTGTTTTATTTTTATAACACAGAATATACGCAATCTTGTTATATTGATAGCACATGCAGTGTTTGAATGTCCATTTGTGACTGTCATGCACCTCAATTAAAGTATCTTTCCTTTTTGTTTCAATCTAAGTATAAGCGATTTACATGAACGCATGGACTTCTCGTCTCGGTTTTGCCACCTAACGCTTCGTTATTTCGGAAAACCCTCATTGTGATAATAAAAATGAAAGAACTCGTTTACTATAATTATACTCTTTTTATTGGTCTTTTGGCATAAATTATCAAGTATTCATCAATCAAGAATGTACATATGCATTAGTATATGTATGGCGGGCCGAAGACGGAGCACCTTAGCTGTTGAGCGGGGCGGGGCGAGGCTCGGCGCGGGGGCGTGGGAAAAGCTCGTATTTTGACGTGGGCCGGTGCAGTAGTCAAGCTCGAACTTTTCCTGCGTCACAGCGCAAGGGACGCCTGCAGCGGCCATCTGACAACGAAGCCTGTTTTGTATTTGTAACCTGATAGTTGGTTGTATTGGTAAACGGAAACAGATTAACGTTTTATTACTTGTTTTTATTAAGACAACTTTACTGAGTTGACAGTTATTGTAATTATTACGACAGGTGTAATAGGATTATATAGGTGTATAATACCTTCCACAATATTCCTGGGATTGGTGGTTAATGTTTTCAGATACTTGTCTTTATAATAATGGCCGCACTATGAGACGTCTATTAAAATTAAATGTTGTTCTACAATTAGAAATACTTAATTAAGAGTCAATACTCGTCTTACTAATTTATTATCATCATGCATGACTTTAATCAATCTTTAACAAAAAGTAAGCGACCGTAAGAAGGTACATGTAATTAGTAACTCTTACCCTCTTTATTAATAAATGAAGAATAAGCTTGGATTAGTTACTCCATGTTTTGTCTCCATTGATTGAATGACTAATGGCACTTAAGTGACATGAACAAAACACGGCGTAACTAGTCTAGTCTATCTAATAAGGGGGTTAGTGATTTTGTCTTATACCCATTTATTGCATTTGTTATAGATTATTGTATAGAACTCTTAAAAAGATTCTCCATCGAGTATAAAAAAAAACAATGTACAAAACTTGTTGTATTTGTATGTTATATTTTTTCTCACATTCATCATTTGTATGTTATTATTTTGCAATAAGTTTATCTTTGTGACCACATAGTATTTTGGGGAGTCTTGTGCTACAGCTACAAGGGTAACCGGGCGTGGCGGGGGCCGGTTTAAGCCTCCGCCATCTGAATATGTCGTTTCTATATCGTAATGTATGGGTTAAATATAAAAAGGTTAATTATTAATGCGAGTTATATAAGGTGGTTTGGATAGAACATTTTATTTCAAAGTACCTTCAATTCATTCAACATTATTTTATATCACTCCGAATATTTTGTGTTTGCGTTTATTGCATTGAAATTAAAATAAACTTTACTCAAGTTGGCTTATTAAAAGCTCTTTTGAATCGTCCTTATATTGGAAGAAACCTGAATATGGTCCTGCTTAAAAAATAAAAGTCTTATTTCAAATACAACCAGCTTTCGCTTTTCTCTTCGGTAAGACTATAGTTTTTGTTTTCGGGCATATATTATATTATACTTTAAAACCTTCCTCTTAAATCACTACCTATTGCTGAAACTTACTACATTAAATTTCGTTGCGTATTTTAAAAGTTCTAAGCGTACAGACGGTAGAGGCCCAAGTACGAATTTTGAGAGTTTCGTTATCGTATCGCATCGTCGAAGTTTCGATCCGGACGTTAGAACAAACTGGCTCCTTCCATACAAAATTTGACGATGACGATACGTTTACGGTACCCCTAGCACGAACCAATATCGAATTTCAATTGTTTGCGAGTTCGAAATGTCATTATCCAATTTTGTATGGAAACTTGAACAGCAGCACCACAAAGGACGGAACTAAAAATCAATACACATTTGACAATGACATTTCGGATATTCGAATTCAATCTTGGTTCGTGCCAAGGGTACTGTAGCCAGGCTGTTTTACATAGTAAAGGTATTTAAGAAATTTGATTTGTGTGTTGCAGACTTTGCCACCGCAAGGGAACACGACGTTCAGTGTGGTGTACCTGGGGCGGCGCGAGGGGCCCGTGTCGGCGCATCTCTACATATACACCTCGCTCGGCGTCCACAAATATCCCGTGAGTACGGCCCTGCCACAAACGTGCCGCATAATCCAAAATTTCAATATCATTTATCTACTCAGTGATAATTGCTAGCTGATCATTTCGTATAAAACTCGATTTGCAAACCTCCGCCTGCCTGTTATTTCTTTTGTGAAAAGAGTGGTCATTTATCTTGAAAATATGGCCCTTCTGATGGTAAGCGGCAACCGCAGCCTATAGATGCTTGCGATACCGAAGCTATCACTCGCGTCGGTCGTTGCCAACCCTGATCCCGTACCCTGTAGAGCCCTGGGGGCCAAACGCTTAACGGGATTGCTATGGCTATCGCTAGGCTTACGATTTCATTTTATTATTTCTGACGGCCGAAGGATTTTGTATAAAAATGTAAAATCACTACACGAATTGTTTGACAAAAACGCGTATCGAAAGCCAATTCAAGTATTCGAATTTGATAACGGTTCGTGCTTTCGGTGCAGGAAACAAATATATTTGCTGACTGATTTATTTGTCGCACTCTCCACAAATGGGATGCCTTGCCCGTTCACGAGTTTCGTTCCTCCTATATTCCGGGATTCTTTAAAAGAGGTGTGAAGAAGCATGCAGTATGCAAGTGGAGAGTTGTGCAGGCCGGCAAGGTGGGGATGGCTGGTGTGGCAGGCATGACTGCCGCACCGCTTCTGGACTCCACCGCCACTTAACATCAGGCGAGGTGGAGTCATCCGTCGGACCGATTTAAATAGAATCGGTAACGTGTATGTTGTGGCAGGTGCATGCGACAGGCGTGGCCAGCGAGTGGGGCGTGTGGCCACTGGTGGGGCTCCGCGTGCCGCACGACGCCTCGCTCGAGCCGCTGCTGGAGCTGCATAACCCCACCGATCAGCCGGTGCAGGTAACCACATCTATACATGTGTCGTGGGGCAGGTGCGTGCGACAGACGTGGGCAGCGAGTGGGGCGTGTGGCCGCTGGTGTGGCTCCGCATGCCGCACAACACATATCAAAAAGTATTTTTTCCGTATCCACGTAATCAAAACATTACAGAGATATAATGATATCTAATTTCGCATGACCTTAACATTAACTTAATAGTGACGTTACGAGCCCCAACTCCCCAAACTTTGACCAGCTTTATCTTTGTAATTTTTCGGTTTATTGACCAAAATAAAAAATTTCGTACCATTATTTTTTGATAATTTAACTGACGGACTAAGTAGAATTACGTTTAGCCGTCGTCACTTCCACACGTCCATACATTAGGAAAGTCGGAACTGAACAATATAATCTGGACATCTTCAAGGCCAGAGTGAACAGGCATTCCTAGGCAGGCGTGTACCATCCTGGGCCTCATCATCGCTTTCCATCATGCATAAAAAAAAGGAGATTTTTAGCGTGAATAAGTTTGTTAAGCGAGTGAATTAAGGGTCAGTTTTTGTGCTCGGATGATCAGGTGAAGGAAGTATACTCGTCGGGTGCATGGGTGTCGCTGTCCCTACCGGGTGGCGCAGGCGGGGTTGAGGCCGGGGCCGACGGACAGGGCGGGGCCGGGGCTCCGGGCGAGGCTTGGCGCGTGCCGCCGCACGAGACGCGCCCCATCGTGCGCCTCAAGCTGCGCCCCTCCATGGACCGCCCGAGACCCGCCTACATCAGGTGCGTGTGCGCTCACTCCGTTGACAACTAACGTTATGTACGTGTTTCATGGTTTTTAAAATAGTTTAAAGACGGGAAATATTTAAATTATCCTCAAAAGAGAACAAATGATCATATACAAATACTATTGGAAACCTATAGGTCGAGACCCTAAGATCATTTAAATATCTATCGTACAAAAAGACTTTCTTAACATAAATTCTTTTGTGTGACGGTTGGACAAATGAAAAGGAGCTAAAGAAATTTTCCTTCCAACGCAGTAAACATTGAGTACTTTACTTGAGTAAATGTGTGTTTTATATTGGTCAGGATCAAGGGTTCGTGTGTGGGCGGCCTGGCGGGCGGGCTGGTGGTCGGCGTGGAGGCTGTGGCCGCGGGCCCGGGGCCCTACCTGGCCCCGCCCCAGCTGCGTCTGCGGCTGCGGGGCTCCAGCGACCCGCCCGGCACGGTACCCGGCTGTTGTATCCCCCGCATGTATAGCATCCAGGGGGCGCGGGCCGCGGGCCCGGGGCCCTACCTGGCCCCGCCCCAGCTGCGTCTGCGGCTGCGGGGCTCCAGCGACCCGCCCGGCACGGTACCCGGCCTGTTGTATCCCCCGCATGTATAGCATCCAGGGGGCAGGGGTCGCGGGCCCGGGGCCCTACCTGGTCCCGCCCCAGCTGCGTCTGCGGCTGCGCGGCTCCAGCGACCCACCCGGCACGGTACCCGGCCTGTTGTATCCCCCGCGTATATCCAGGGGGCAGGGGGCGCGGGCCCGGGGCTTCAGTCACTACATTATTGAATCTTTTTTCTAAAAATAATTATAAGAATCTTTAATTATTATGATAAATAGCTTTATGTTGTCTGTATATCATCATTAATATTTAGAAACTGTAAAACTTCCAATTCATTATATGTGAACACTAGCCTATTGTTCACGTTAACTATTTTTTTTTTATTTTGTTACCTGGGTTAAAAAGTATTTTTTGTTTCAATTGAAGTCATGAACTATATGCGTTCCAAATTGAATTTAAATCCGTTTAGTGGTTTAAATGTAAAAGCGTAACAAAGAAACCAATTCACTATCTCATTTATTTATTAGCGAAGAAAGTGTTTAATGTATAATTCTGGGCGTGTACGTATGGTTTTCTGATTCAGTTTCATGATTTCCGTGCAGTTGTAACGCAGACATATCTCATTTAATTTTTTAATAAACTCCGAACCGAACGTTAGGTTTTTTTCTATTCTGAATTAAACCGAATAGTATGCACCTAGTTGAACATTTTGTATGTAGAGACGTGCATTCAGGTTTCCGAATCTGAATCCTGGCCCAGGGAAACGTACGTTCCGGCCAGGCTTAACTTTTAAGATTATCAAAAGATAAATATTCCATAAGTTACGTATGGTGCACAAGCATATTCTCGGTGACTGAATAGGTAAAATATCTGTGGCAGTGGGAACTTATGGCGGGAAACAGTGGTGAAAGCGCCGTGGGTGTGGGCGGCGCCGTGTGGGGCGCGCGCTGCGAGCGTCGCCCGCCCGCCCTCCAGCCCCGACCCAGCCCCGCCCCGCCCTACGGCGACTCCGCGCCCAACCCAGCGCTCGCCGCGCGCGCTAACGGTGAGTGTCAGTATATACTGTGTCATATTATGCAGCTGCGAGCGCCGCCCGCCCGCCCTCCAGCTCCGCCCCAAGTCCGCCCCGCCCTACGCCGGCCCCGCGCCCAACGCGGCGCTCGCCGCGCGCGCTAACGGTGAGTGTCAGTATATACTGTGTCAAATACAGCTGCGAGCGCCGGCCGCCCGCCCTCCAGCCCCGCCCCAGCCCCGCTCCGCCCTACGATGACCTCGCAGCTTGTATTATTTATATCGATAATGAATTTGAGTGTGATCCGCTTGTATATGTTCTGAATAGCGTGTATATGATGAGGTGTGTTTGGTTGCCGCAGGCGCGAAGGCCGAGGGCGTGTCGGTGCGCGCGCTGACCGGTCAGCTGGCGCCGCACCAGGCGCCCGTCACCGCCCTGCAGCTCACGCTTAACTGTCAGTACCATTAACATAACACACAAATATATAGTAACTAATATCATAACAGGTAACTTAAGCTCTTTTTAACACTAACGAAGCGTCGATTAGACGTATCATTGCTCGTTTATTTTTTGGAGATTATAATTAACATGTGCGTAATTCATTATTTATCATAAAGACCTCATTTATAAAACTATATTGAAGACTAGTTTTACATTAGCCAGTGCAAATAGTTTATTATTAATTTTAAGTTACCTCTAGATGTGAGGACCTGTAATTGGCTCTTAGTCGCTCCTATTCATTTCTAGTTTATTAAGATAAATTGTTGGTCTTCCATGTAACCAAAAATAAATAAACTGTGTGTATTTTTCTTGTTCTTTAATAATAAAATAAACCGACTTCTTCTATAAAAAAGTAAATGTATTTCTCTCAATTTCGGTTGCAAATTTGAATATATATTATATATTTTAGCGACTTATCTTATTCAACTGGATGGGCGATTGAGGGATAATTATTGGCCGATAATCCTCAAAGAAATAAATTTAAACCAATACTTTTAGTTATCTATCTGTCAATAACAAATTGCGTCTAAGTAATAACGTTTTTTATACGCAGATTCCCTTTTAAGGGTTCCGTAGTTCTGACAAGGAACCCTTATACTTTCGTCATGTCCGTCCCCGGTCTTGCTTTGAGACTTAGCACTCCATTTGGTGGGTATGTACCGATAAGCTAGGCATCCCGTATAGATGCGTAGAAGATGCTCGAGTATCGACTCCCCACACCAATGCAGTAGGCCTGGAAAAATGCCATCCAGGCCAGCTGCTTTAAATGGGAGAAAGCTTTTGGTGGCCAATGGTAATGTGTTAGGTTTAATGATTATGTGTGCAGTGTGTGTGCCTTTACTGTTACAGCCTAGGAAGTGAGTTTGCATCAGTATTTCACAGGTTTCAGCGTCGGTTTTTGTATAGGTGTTATCAGTTTTTTTGAGTGAACCTAAGTTGCGTTCGGGGTCGCTGCTTAGGATTTTCTTTACTCTTGAAGCATGATTGTTGTCTTGGATGTCGTTACAGAAGCGCTTCCGGCATGCATGTATATGTATACTTATACATATATAACCGTTAAAGGGTGAGGTATGCGCAGGAAATTTCAAACTTATAAGTGTATATATATAGATATATACTTCACGCTTTTTTTTAGAAACGTATAATTTGACGTCAAATAGAATAAAAAAAAAAATATACCCATATATACCTATAAATAATAATAATACTTGCATAATTGCAAACAAAACAAGCCACAGCTGTCGGTTGACGCCATGTGACATATTACTGTACTTACTGAGTATTTTTATCACAGAACACAGAAAGAGGTTATGGCCTTGTGGGCGGGGCAGGCGCGTCACAGTTATGAGCAAATGCTCATAACTTGACCGTAACGTCCGATCGCGTCGTTTAGTTGCCCGCGACCGCTCAGTACGAGAGTATTGTGATTACCGCTTAAAATATGCCTTCGTGTGCCGTAATTACTTGCAAAGTAAGGAGTCAATCATCAAATCTACCTAAAGCAGGAATTTCTTTTCATCGGTAAATATAAAACTTCTTAGTTAGACTGACATTTTAGCAAAATTTCGAGAAATTTTAATAAAACGTTAAATCACATATATATTTCCACAAAAATATTCATTGCTGACAATGTACGCTCGCTATTCTTTCTACGACATTCTAAACACGTAATGTAGTACGATCGAGCAAGAATGACGCGTGGATCACAGAGCGCTGCACGTGGCCGCACGCAGTACAAGGTCATTGCATCTACTTTAGTGGTGTCTTGCGTCGTACATTTTTCATTTTCGATAGATTTTATCGGCTGAATTTTAGCACTTAATAATGGAATTAAAGTAACTTTTAGAAATAAATAAAAGCTGATTGTGTATGTTTATCATATTTAATATTATAAAGGCGAAAGTTTGTGAGTGTGTATGTTTGTTACTTCTTCACGTCTAAACGGCTGGAGCGTTTTTAATAAAATTTGGTATGGAGTTAGCTGACACCCTGGATTAACACATACGCTACGTTGAACAGCGGGAAAATATCCAGATCATTGCCTAGCCACACTTGAACTTGCAAATGTTATATACCACTGTAGTGTTTTACTGTTCCATGCAGATTTATATCCCATAGTAGGCCTCAGAAAGATATTATGACAGTTATTGTGGTACTTAGCTTTAGCAGCAACTAAGTTATACTCAATATGTAAAATATGAATTTTCTAATTATTAAAACAGCGATATCTCACGAATGGTGTGTCGTGAGAGAAAAAGTGACTGGACCAGTTTTGTAGAGAATTGTATGATCTTCAACTTTTGTCAGATCTATTTTCACGATAAAACTTACCGTTTTCGAGAAAAATGGAAAGAACCACAATTTTGTAAGTTTGACCTTGAATATTTTTTTGCAGAAGTAGGATCGAAGGAGATTTTAGACATTTTATTTATAATGATGTATTTAACGTCTCTGCCAATTTTCAGCTCTATGCAAATTATCCCTAAGTTATGACTTATTTTTGTCTATTTTGACTGGACTATAGAGAGAATTAACTTGTCCACACAGTCAGTAGAAAGAGATTGTAAAGAGCCATCTGAAAACGAAGAGGATGAAGATGAAGATTTTACTGATTTCAGTACACAAGTCATTGCCTACATAGCAGGCAATGTGGTTCATGTCCTTATTAAAAAAAACTAATGCGATATTTGCCCTGGAGCCCTAATATCAGATTCAAGTAATAATTAACATAAATTTATTTCGTTTAAAGATAAAGGTGGCCTGATATATCCGACCGTGGTGATGTTATAAAAATATGCAAAAGTGCAGAAACTGTAATACGACAACATGCAGATAATTTGAAAAATGTCAAAAAAGAAATTTTAGTCCAAAACATATAAAAAAAGTTTATTGGCACTTCATTATTTGATGACATATCATTTTATCAAGTCGGTGAATTCCCATTATCTAACCACGTAACAGATTCAATTAAAGTGGTAAGTGAAGAATATATAGATATATTTCTTTTGAAAAATAACTTTAAAAAAGAAATAAAGCGTCTCCTTTTTCATAAATATATATTGTTTAAAGGTCAATAAATAACTATCTGTAATAATGCGTTTTACATTAAATCATTTTCTTTTTCTTTACTGACTTTGACAGGATACAAAAAATTCCATACAACCAAGTCAAGTCCAACTCGCACATGGCATATTTAATATCGATAATATTTCATCGACTCAGTGACAACCACTAGAGCTAAAATCGGTGTGAACCTCTGAATAAGGAATCCAATGGAACTGTTGCAATGACATATAGTTTTTTTAGTTATGTATAATTTTGGAAGACGAAAAAATTAACATAATGGCGTCTTTGTCTAAAGTATGCAATGAGAGCAGTCCAACTCGTGAGACGTGTGCCTTGTCCGCCATATTGTGCCGCTGTCTAAGTACCTGTGGTGTAAACATTGACTCCGTTGTCACTGTTTGATATTAAACATTAGTTCTTGAATAAAATTGTTCTTGAAGATATTTTGAAGATTGTGGTGAAATATTGTATAAAACAATAGTGTACAATGCCTAATAAGTGCAGCATAATAAATTGTGGTGCAACAATAAGCAGAAATCGGCCAAATTTAACATTTCACCGGTAAGCATTTATTTAAAATTTATTAGAGTTTTGAACCGTGCAATCAAGTCAAGGACACTTAAAATCATATAAAGTATAGTTTATAGAGTAATTGAGTATGTATTTTTCCTAAAAAATATATTTCGGTTTGGTTTATATTGTATTTTGTTTTGACTGTAGTGATGGTTTGTTATATCCAACGATTTATCGATATTTTCTTACACGAAACACTTATTCCTTTTGCAATAATTAAGTGATTCTTGTTTCTCCCGAGTAGAGTGTGCACATAGGGGGTTGCGTATAAAAAAAATCCATGCTTCCGATATCATATTGACATTTATTACAATAAAGAAAAAGATCTAATTTTTTGATTTATTTATGTTTTCAGACTGCCAGTAAGTACAAACAAAAAAAAAAGAATTTTGCTAGAGGTCATTGGAAAAGAAAATTTAAGAACAGATCTGAAACATATTTACATATGTTTTTTACATTTTCATCCAAACTCATTTAAGAAGACATTATATGTTATAAGATTAAAAGATGATGCAGTACCTTCGAATACCTAGACTGCCTTAATAATAATGTCACAAAATATGCAGAAAGTGTTGTGACGTACATCGCAGGCTTTGTAGCCAGAAAATTATCCCGCACTATAAAATGTGTAACTTCTGTGTCAATGTTATTTGGCGATGTGAAAGCAGTCATTGATAGCATATAAAAATCGAGGTGGCCTCGTGAATCCGTCTAAAGACGTTGAGGATGTATGTAAAAAGACAGAAAAAAAATAAAATTTAATTTTAAGAAAACAAATTTTGAGAAATATTATTTGTATATTTTTTCTTTTCTCATCGAAAATTATGGCGAAAATAATCAAGGTTTTGAGACCGATTCGAGCATAAATATTTATTAATAAAGAGTGTAATTAAAACATATATTGATAATAAGGTTTAGATATTTTGGAAGGAAAAGTATGGAAAAATTTTTGTTTAGAAATTACTTAAACAAAATTGTTCTTTTTAGAAATGAATAATGTTAAACTGATGAATGTAAATAAATAAATACAGATTTTTATACTTATAACACCTACTTATTTTAATACCTACCTATTTTATCTCTTTTTTTTCTATTCTGATATACGTCATCGTGTTAAATAGTCTGTATAATGCGTTTCTGTAAAACTATTTATACTGGATTCCTGCCTATCATTTCTTTGATTCCTCACAACGCGTACAGCATGGGTACTGGCGAACCCTACCACCTTACTTAGTGGTATTGAATATAATCCCCGCGTTAACCGAATTGATTTTTAAATATTGCTAGTATTAAATCTCTATACTTGCTGATTTTCTTACAATGTTTTCCTTAACTAATAAAAAGGAGGTAACGAACTGCACATAAAAAGCTAATAGATTAAAATAATACGATACTTAAAAGCGAATTCTTTTCTTTTTATTCTTTTCATTAATGTTCTCGGCATAATTTACTTTTCGCTATATGCGGAGGATCTTACTATATTTTATACTATCAGTACCTAATCATGAAAATCATAAAAAAATTCAGCGTGATTTTAATAAATATTGAACTGAACGTAGTCTCAATAAAGTCGGAAAAATGTAAGTTAATGAAATTAGGGAATTAAAGATAATTAGATGCTAAAATATAACGTATAAATATAATATACTAAGTTTTATCGATAGATATGGCGCATTCGATAAGTGTTAAATACCATCGTGGTAGTATACAACACTAAGCCGCCATGTTTAGCTGCGTAGGTATGCAGGTTTTTTTCGTAGCTATGGCAGTTCCATAGGTTTCCTTATTCAGAGGTGTGAACGAATGAACGCTCACAGTCACGACTGTGAGCGCTGATTCGTTCGGTTGCTTGATGTCGCGTCGTTTGATTGGCTTATTATCTATTAGGTGGAAGTGTAGTGGGGACGAGCCGGCGACATCGGTTCTCACACTGGCGATCGCTTATCACCCTTCTAACCTCTTTCTGTGTTCTGTGATTTTTATACGGATTAGACATAAAATTATGATGAAGATTTTTATCTAAGGAAACTCTGGCGAACGTCGCAGATGTTAGCTGATATGTATTGGCAAAGGTGGGTAAAAGAAATCCTACCGGAACTGCGGCCCAGGAAGAAATGGAACGAGGAACAGAAACCGGTACAGGTAGATGATCTTGTTCTGATTGTTGATCCCAATGGTCCTCGTAACCTATGGCAAAAGGGTCTGGTCTTGCGAGTTCATATCAGCAAAGACGACGGAATCTGAGTGGTGGATGTAAAGACGAGCACCGGCACGCTGCAGCGACCTGTGGTGCGCCTTGTACCCGTGTCCTTGGTTGATTAGTGCTGCTTCAGCACTAGGGGTGGGAAATGTTAGCGACGGACTTGTATGAAACCACAGATAGTGGTGTCATATTTTTATTATAAAATTTTAGGGTACTTTTAGTATAGAAACGGCCATTTTGTTACTAACTTGCAATGCGACTGTCTTCGAACATCCGCCGACTAGTTAAGTCCTACAATAAGTTACTTTTTGTGTGATCTTGTAAAAGCCAAATAAAAGTGTTATATCGTGTACTGGTGCATATTATTTACCTAGCGCGAGCTCCCGAATTATACAAATATTGTACTCGCAACCGAAAAAAGGTGAAAACTGACTACTTTAATTATATTTTTTTTTTGTATGAATTATTTAAACATGACACAAGCCTAACAGTAAATGTTAGTCCATAAAATGAGGTAAACATCAATGACCTTGCAACCCTAAAATTTACCTGTCATGGCAGCGCCTCGCATTTGAACATTTTGTAAAGGCATCAAAACATTGTTATTTTTCTTCTCCAGTTCACAAAACTGTTTCACCTTAAGAATTACTTCTCTGGTTGCACTTCTTATCACTTTACGCTGCATAATCAATCTCCTTCCATTAAAAAACAACTCAAATCTACAAACAACACTCGCAACGCACACACCTGACAAACGACAACATGGCGGAGCTGTTACATTTAGTTCGACGTTTCGCCGTCGGACTTGAGTAGTGGCGCGGACTCTTGTCACTTTGTTTGGACATACACTGAGAGGAAAAATGTCTAAGCAGTGGTGTAGCGTCTACCGGAGGGTAGTAGCGATCCCTCGTGCTAGTCGACGTATAATATGCCACGTGTAGACTGGAGACCGGGAGATTCGAATCATTTGAATTATTTTCCTTATTACAATTTTTCATCAAAGAATTGAGAAAATAAGTTCGCCACGGTTTATGACTATCTTTTTTTTGTTTATTTCAACAATTTCATGAAGCTACATGCATGCCATTTCGCATTTCAGCTTAAAATAGTATCTACTAACAAAATACAAAGCGGTATGCAGGAAGAAGTCACCTGAATTTGGACAGTGTTCTTTGCAACTTTTATTATTATTTATAATACTATGAGCTTATTCAACACGCATTCAATTTGAATTAGGTAATTCTTTTGTTATAAAATGAATATTCATTTGATTAGGAGTAATTTGGAATCACGGAAAATCGGTGTTCAAATTTTACAGAGTTATCCGGAAATTTACCACCGTTGGTCATATGCGGGGTGCATGCCATCTTTCCAGTGTGTGTTTATAACAAAAACTTCCATTTGATATCGGCATGCAATTTCAAAACACGGAATTGCCCTTTAATTTTGTTCAGGTTTGCAGAATATTAAGATCATCTTGGGCCGCTACCGAGTGCATGCCATCAATTATTCCAGCTTTAATTTGTTTAAATTTCCGTATATTACAATGGCATGCAGTATACTAACACGAAAATCCTCTACACAAAGAAAAGCTCTTTCCCTTACGAAGAGGACGCGCGGGGGGCTAAAAGCCCGACTATCATTGATATTTTAGGGTTAGTTATCAAGCTTTAAAAAGGCATGCACGACAAAATTGTGGAACGTCACCTGTCACCAGCTCCCGGTCTATAAAAACTTCTTTAAGAACATAACTATTTTTCTCTTCATTCTTATTCTTGTCGTGAGAAAAGAGAAATGCGGATAGCTAATTTAATTCTTAAAAAGTGGGCTGACCTCTGTACTAGTATTATCTGTTTGATGTCAGATGACCGTCTGTGGGCGTCAGTGGAGGGCGGGCCGGGGGCCGGGGAGGATGGGGACGGGGCCTGGTGCTCGGGGTGGGTGGTGCTGGGGCCTGCCGCCATGCCCTACAGTCTGCGGCTCCTGCCCGGCACGCTGGCCCTCCAGCCCACACATCTACAGTGAGTATTGCAGCCAGGGGGCGGGGCGGTACTGGGGCCCGCCGCCATGCCTTACAGTCTGCGGCTCCTGCCCGGCACGCTGGCCCTCCAACCCACACATCTACAGTGAGTATTGCAGCCAGGGGGCGGGGCGGTGCTGGGGCCCGCCGCCATGCCCTACAGTCTGCGGTTCCTGCCCGGCACGCTGGCCATCCAGCCCACACATCTACAGTGAGTATTGCAGCTAGGGGGTGGGCCCTCGGGTCAGGAGGGCGGGGCGGTGCTGGGGCCCGCCGCCATGCCCTACAGTCTGCGGCTCCTGCCCGGCACGCTGACCCTCCAGCCGACACATCTACAGTGAGTATTGCAGTCAGGGAGTGGGCCCTCGGGCCAGGAGGGCGGGGCGGTGCTGGGGCCCGCCGCCATGCTCTACAGTCTGCGGCTCCAGCTCGGTATTGTTGTCGGCGGGCGGTGATTGAGATAGAATAAAAGGAAAGAAAGAAAATAAGTTGTAACCTTTATGTTGGTGGATGACATTAGGTAATAGATGCAGTGGCTAGTATTGAAGTAGTTTTTTGTTTATGCAAGCAGATTTACTGAAATAATGCCCTGATTGTCAATGTTGTTTCAAGCGTAATTCCCTTCCTTTTTATAACAACGTTTCGTTTGTTAACATGTCTATGTATTTTTTTGCATTGTACTTTGTTGTGTTTGATTGTCGTAAAAAATATTCTATTTCTTGTTCTTATATTGGACTTGTATTATCAATGAAATAAAGTCACCTATTTTACTTTGAGAAAAACAATAAATTACTGTTGTATATGCCGTTTGTTTGTGAACATACAGGGCACAATTCCTGTCGTGGATTTGCTAACAGTTGGCGTAGTTTTACGACCTTCACAAGTGCTTGTAAGAGCCTACTGAATAAATGATTTCTCACCTCTAGCATAGTGACGTCGGAGGGCAACATAAAGGAGCGCTCAGTGCGCGCGCGCAACGATTTCTCCGTGCCTGTGCTGGTGCACGCCATGCACTGCGGCCCACAGCTGCTGCAGCACTTCCAGGTGAGCCATACACACTCATACACATACATCACACTACTGACGACCATTTCAATATTTAATTCTTTAGGGTTGATTTTTAAAACTTTAAATACTTTGTAATAATGTTAAAATTTTCCACATGAAAGACTGTTTATTCTCAAAATAATGACAGCCAACAAAGTGTGTGGGCTCAAATGAAGGGTATAGTTTCTCTTTCATAAAATATGTGTGATAATATGTTTCCGTGTATCACACAGTGTACATCGCTGGGTCCCCTGGTCCTGGAGGCGGGCCAGCAGGCCACAGTGGGGCGGGTGGCTCCCTCCCCGTCGGCCCCTGGCCCGGGCCCGGGCCCGCCCCCGCTGCGTGACATCATCACGCTGCGCACCAACCTCACGGACTACACGCTGCCCGTGGCGGTGCATAGCGGCGCCTTCACGCTGGTCAGTAAGCCTATTCGCTGACTGCTTTAGACAGATTCAGCTGTTTAGTGATACGTTCCTGCTTTATTATAACGCCCCTAAGATACTTATTAAATGTCAAAATAGTTAGCAAACAGGCCGGTAGATCGTTATATCGCTCCCACCCGTCAAAACCGTTGAAAAAACGAATCGAAAATACTTATGCAAGACGTTGTCTCTGTCGCAAGTTACATAGGATAGTATGTGTGGTGGGATAGAATGTCTCACGTCATCATTTGCGATTCGTTTTTTTATTGCAGTGAGCTCTAATCGAGTAATAGTAACCATTTTTTAACTAGAATTATAATCAAAATAATGACTTGGTTACTTAACAACAAAGTATTTACTTGTTCCTGTTTATAACTACGATGGTTAGTTTTTCTAATTGAAAACACAGATTATGGGACTATTTCATCATTGGTATCACTTCTGAAATGTCGGAATTCTGTCGAATAAAAAATCAGATTATATGAAAAAAAAAACTCAATGCATTTTCGCTATTACAGATTTCGGCCCTTTATATCTTCTAGGGTTTGGTACCCGAAGGGTAAAAATGGGACCCTATTACCAAGACTCCGTTGTTCGTCTGACTGTCACAAGGTTGTATCTCAAGCTAGATAGTTGAAATTTTCAGAGATGATGTATTTCTGCTGCCACTATAACAACATAGTTGGTTAGTAGAACGTTGCCGATTGTGTGCAGGAATGGGAGTGGCCTAACAGCAAGCGCGGCACGCTGCAGCTCGGCAGCATCGGGGCCCGCAGCACGCGGCGCATAGGGCTGCGGCTCCACAACGCGGGGCCGGGGCCGCTGTGTGCGCGGTCAGTCCGCGCCGCTCTACCGCCCGCCTCCGCCTCCGTGTCGCTCGCGACCTGCCTCCACTATCCGCAGCCGTCGCCTGACCATGCCTGCGTGAGTGTCTACCCGCAGCACGCAGCACGTGGCGCATAGAGCTGCGGCTCCACAATGCGGGGCCGAGGCCGTTGTCAATGTGGAGTGATCTAATCTCAAACGCAATTTGAGAACGCGTCACTTATGTACATTACGTTTTGGTAATACTATCTTTGGAAATCTTTTGTCTAGGTGATTCCACACCCACACGTCATAGCATTATTTTTATGCTTCAGTTCTTGTTCTGCAGTGGAAAGTATTTTAAGTGCTGAATTGGCTAACACTTCCAACATGCACAATCTCATGAATGGACAAGAATTGTGCTTTTCTATCGAGTAATTGATTACTATAAACTGTCTCATAGACGGACGGTCGTATTCGCTTGCAACGTTAGCAAGGGGCCAGGCCGTTTGGCCGCGAGACAATTTATTTAGGAGTTGTGTTGTGTCCCCAGCGGTGCGTGGAGGGCGGAGGCTGGCTGCAGGCGTGGCTGACGGTGGTGGCGGGGGCTGGGCCCGGGCCCCTCACCGGCTCGCTGGAGGTGGAGAGCCAGCACACCAGCCGGCGCTACCCCCTCACCGCACGCGTCACCGCCGGCCGCCTGGCCGCGCGCATAGCACCCGCACCGCAGGCCGCGCCGGTACGTACTGTGTGACGGTAGGGGCGGGGGCTGGGCCCGGGCCCCTCATCGGCTCGCTGCAGGTGGAGAGCCAGCACACCAGCCGGCGCTTCCCCCTCACTGCGCGCGTCACCACCGGCCGCCTGGCCGCGCGCATAGCACCCGCACCGCAGGTCGCGCCGGTACGTACTGTGTGACGGTAGGGGCGGGGGCTGGGCCCGGGCCCCTCACCGGCTCACTGGAGGTGGAGAGCCAGCACACCAGCCGGCGCTACCCCCTCACCCGCACCGCAGGCCGCCCCGGTACGTACTGTGTCACGTGCCTCACCCGTCCAGGGTGCTCCTTTACTTGGAACTAATCCCGAAAACCATTGATTTGCAATTATTCTGTCAAACCCTAAACAAAGCACCGACTAATTAAGCCGAGTAGACGACATTTTGGAAGACGGCGACACCGGGTGACGAAAGGCGAAGAATTTGAAGAATCTGGTGTCTGCGGGCTTTTCACTGTAATCGTTTGTGGTAATCGACGTTGATCATCAGGTTTCTTCGACAACGGACGAGAATCGATGATGCGAAAGATGACCGTGTTCAGATTGCTCTTTGCTACAAATAATGTAGAGAGATTAGACCGTAACCTAGCATTTCAGCCCACTATAAATTTGAAGATGCGAACAACTACAGATGCAGCTGAACCAACTCAAGATTATTTCTCAGATCACAGCTGAAAGCGCGGACAATTTTCGCTTTCAAGTTCTCGATTAAAAAAAGAACATCTAAAGAATATTTAAAAAAAAAAGATTTATTTTTTTACCATACATCTGGTTACATAAATAAAGTTAGGCTCTTTTTTAAAAAGAAGGAGAAAGAAACGGTTTTTTTTATAAATAGGTCCGACAAATGACTCCGTTCCCCCTGATGTTAAGTGACGGTGAAGTCCAGACGTGAAAATAGTTTATACAGCAGTTCTACCTGCCACACCAGCCATCCTCACCTTGCCGGCCCGCATGTTGCTTTTTCACGCCTCTTTTCAAGGTTACCAGGTTGTCATTTTTTTACAGGTTTTATGACATCAGCAAATTAGGTAGAAAAGTTCATTCGTAATAGTTATATTTCCACAAGCAAAGCGACAGTGAACAATAAAAGTGTATGGTTGCAGTATTTGAACTCGTGGGCAGCGCTGGTGGTGGACAACTCCATGTCGCTCAGCGTGCGCCTGCTCGCCCTCACGCAGTCGGACGCGGACGTGCCCGTCGAGTTCCAGTGAGTTATACACTACTACTACTCTCAATGCAATATGTTTTTTTTTGAACTACCTATAACTAAACGATATATAATATATCACACTAATAGTATGATATATTATATCATACTATTAGTGATATAATATATCGAATATAAAGGCGAAAGTTTGCGTCTGTGTGAGTGTATATGTTTGTTACTTTTTCACGTCTTAACGGCTGGAGCGATTTTAATAAAATATGGTATGAGTTAGCTGCCACCCTGGATTAGGCCACATAGGCTACGTTATACTGGGAGAAAATATCCCTAATAAACCGCGTGTTACACCGTGGGGCACAGCTAGTTGTATATCTATATATTCTAACGAAAATTTAAACAGACTTCATAAAACCAAAACTTCCATCTGGCCGAACACGATTTACACCCCTCCCTCCCCTCTCAATTTTATTACTATTGTAATTGATTTGTAAATCAATTACTTAGCGTTCTTCCTTAAGTAATATTTTTTTGAAAGGTTTCGCGGACCACTTAGCTTCCAAGAACCACCAGTGGTCCTCGGATCACCGGTTAAGAACAACTACTTTAATCTAAAAGTCATAGCGCAACTAACCCTATCGGCACCTGCGCAGCACTGCCTCGGCATGCTTTGTATAGACCCACCCGTGGCCCACCCGACGTAAGCTGGTTGACAGCGCGGCCTCCACGAGAGGACGGCGCGCCGAGGCATTGCTGGTGCGGTGCTGGGTGGGTCAGGTGCGCATATCATTTTTCCAATAATATAGTAGAATTTAAAGTTAAATTATCATTTTGAGTCGGTGCCATGCATAATGATAGGTCTTGAGTTGCCATTTACTGGTTGGGTTAACATTTTCTGAAGAAACTAACCTCACCACGAGTTGCTTCCGAGGAGATTTAAATAATATTTTAATGATTTTGCCTACTGGATCACAGGTTTTTCCTATAGATGAAATAAGAAGATTGGGTCAGGACTCGCGGGTCACATTGCGGATTGGTGAGTGCTAGCGACTGCAGATGCATCCGGGACCAACGGCTTAATGTGTCTTTCGAAGCAAGGAGAAGCTCGAGATAGTAAACTTTTGGTCACCCATTCAATGACCGACCACTGCGAAAGTTTTTAAACTTTGATCGCAGCCAAACGCGCAAACTAGTTGCTTTAATTGTGGCAATGTATGTTAAGTTAGGGCATTACTCTATCACCGTTCCAAGTTACAGCCTCGAATACTTTATTCAGTTTGAATTTTACTGTACGGTATAATAGTTCGTATTATGCCGTACACTGTAGACATACAGCTACTATGTACGTATCGGTGGTGTTCCAAAAGTTGAATTGTGTATGTGTACGTATTGGTGTTTGGTTGTGTTGGGAACGATAGTGTCATTTTGTCAAGATATGCTTAACACACAGGATACCTTAACACAAACTGAATTGTTTAGGCACAATTATTTTCTAAGTTTCACAATATTTTGTAATGAATCTTTGCACGGCTTGTTGGCTCTTGTATTATTAGACCAAAGGTACATTATGGTGCGTCTCTTTGTACCTTGTAGTATTGTCGGAAGGGCATGATATCTCTTTTTCTCAGTCTGCCAGTGTTTAAATACCAAGTGTACGTCAGGGTCGTGGGTTCGGGTCGTTTGCGGCGCGGCCGGCAGATAGCAGGCCGCGTCCGGCTCGCGGTGGAGCACGCGTGTCAACCGCAGGACGCTGCCGACAACCGCACGCATGACGCAATCTCACCGCAGCCATGCTACCTCGGCCTGGCGCTCGATACGCCCGGTCAGTATACACTATACACACACAGAGCTGTCACACACGCCTAATGAAACACAGAACAAAGAAACAAGTTAGAAGCCTTGTAGGCGGGACACGCTGATCATAGAATTGATTAGATGATTTCCGTTTAACATTATGTTACCCAATGAATGTACATATTACCGAATTGCAGATATTTGATTTGTTAAAGTATTTTTTTATTTGTCTGCGTGTCACGTTAGTATTGAAGGTCAGTTGTATAAGTTTGTAACCATGTTTTAGATAAGTTTATGATAGAGTAATGCTTCTATAATTTCTAATTGTTTGTTGATAAATGTCGTTTATTCAGAGGGTTTGGCGTGGTTAGAACGTGGGCGATTGGTGGACGCGGCGAGCATAGAGCGAGATGTGGCAGAGATGGGCGGGCGCCGCGACATGCTGGCCGCCCGCCCCCGCCCTCCGCCCGCCCTGCTGCATCTGCACACCACGCAGGTATATACACCCACACGGGGCATAGCGCGACACGTGCCAGAGATGGGCAGGCGCCGCGACATGCTCACATTTGGGGCCTCTCTTGTTCTAGCATTTATAAACGATATAAACGATATAAAATTCTGTGAGGTAACATTGATTGTTGTAACTTCTTAGTGAAATTAGTTTAAATATACCACGACCAATTTTCCGACCAGCTAACTATAAATTATTTAATTTAGAAATTAATAAAACCAACCTGGGTACGCAGAGTGTTATAAATAGGATATGTGAAGAACATAATAAATTCTGTACTGGGTCCTTGGGAGGCGTTGATTTGTTCGCTGCGTCATTGATTGCATTTAGGAGAACTTTGCTATGGAGTATTGATTGTGAAACTTGATTATGGTTTAGTTTTATGTTTGTTTGTATACCTTGTTAAGTTTTTATCACTAATTTTGTCTGAAATAAGAGTTGAGTATGTCTGGAACCGTTTTTGCACAACTTTATGTATAACGTAAGTAATAAAGTCATAACTATAACGTAAGTTTTTTAATTATGTTGGGTGTAAAAATGTTGGCATGCTAAATTAATAAAAATAACGCTAGCCGGTGTGGGTGCAGGTGGTGCAGCTGCCGGTGCCAGTGCGGTTCTCGCTGCAGTGGCCGCGGCTGGGGCGCTGGCTGGCGGGCCCCGGGGCGCGGGGGCTGGCGGGCGGGGGGGTGCCGCCCATCACGGGCCCCGGGGCGCCGCCCCTGACGGGCAGCGTGGGGGGTGCGCTGCCCTCGCGCGTGCTGCTCCGCAACCCCTGCAGCCGGCCCGTGCTGCTGCAGCCTGTGATCCTGGCGCCGCCGGCAGGGGATGCGCTGTGAGTCACTCGGTTCATACTTATATTTTAATTGGTTAAGTATTCCCCTGCTCGATGTTTTAATCTAAAGAAAAAAATACTACAAAAATATCCACGCATCTCTCGCTATCCGGGCGAATGCACTGACCGTCATGCGACCGCAGCCCTGATGACCGCGTCGAATTTTCTCTATTGTTTCTTAAGCTGCAAGGCTTGTCTTCGCATTATAGGCATTGCGCTCATTGCATTGTTTATATGTTAAAAGATTGGCAAACAAGCATATGTTCCCTGTTTCTCTGATGCATGTTTATCCCTAATTTTATCCTGAACGCAAAATCGGTGATATCAAAGGAGACTTTATACGTTCATCTCCTGTATGAAGAACTCATCTTTTCAAGCTTTTGCGGAGAACCATTTTGTAACTAATAACGGAAACAATACAATTGTAACGCAAATCTTACACAGCCCCGATTTCATGTCAACGGTTACTGACAGTCACACAATTATTTCGACTGAAAATTAAGCCTTGTTTCACAACACAATTGACGTTGAAGTAAGATACGAACAATTGACAACTGTCACAAAATACCTGCCATTTTTATATCTATGTCGGTGACATAATATGTCGATTTGGTAATCTATGGCCTTGATGATAACCTACACCATAGCCTATAGACGCTTACAAAAATATCACTCGCGTAGAGCCCTGGAACCTTCCTCACCGGCAGAAATAGAGGTTACATTAAATAGGTTTAATGACGTTTTGAATTTACAATTATATTGAGTACTCATTATATGTGATGTTCTAAATTCAAATCTACTTTGCCGCTCAAGCGAATAAAATAGAATTTTCCAGCCAGATTTCGAAGCGCAAAATTACACTTTCCGAGGTGGTGGGATGAAAAAGTACTTTAATGATGTAGTGCCCGGGGCGCGGCGCCCGCCATCTCGTTACCAGGCATAGCATTGCAGCTGCATGGGGACAACGCACACACATTCACACACAAAAATACACACTTCATAAGGTTATCATGTGACAAATTCTTGAAAACCCTTTTGTATGGGTATTTAGTGATTGTTTTTCTTTTTTTTTGTCTTTGTGTTATATTTTGTTTTGTTCAATCTTAATTTAATTTCATTATTTATGTTAGTAAATTATATGCTTTATATACAAGTTTTAAAATTAAATGTAATAAATACTGATATATAGTAATGCCGTTAGTATCTAATGTGTACATAATGAGTTTCAGTTATTGGCCTTAGGATTGTTTTTATATTTTACTAGCGGCCCGCCCTCGCTTCGCTTCGGTGTAGACCTGAAGCGTAGACTACAGTTTTTGTTCTCAGGCTTGTTTTATACACAATGACATTCATCTATGATTATTCTTATACCTGCATGCAAAGTCTCAGCCCGTTCGGTTTTAAAATTGACAAAGTTTCATACAAACTTTCATTCCCTATTTTATCCCCTTCGGGGTAGAATTGATCAAAATCCTTTCTTAGCGGATGCCTACGTCATAACATCTACCTGCATGCCAAATTTCAGCCCGATCCGTCCAGTGGTTTGGGCTGGGCGTTGATAGATTACTACGTCAGTCAGTCACCTTTGAGTTTTATATATATCTTTATAGATATAATTCTTCTGTGAGTGTGTATGTCACTGAACTTCTCTTAAACGACTGGACCGATTTTGATGAAAATTTTTGTGTGTGTTCAAGGGGATCTGAGAATGGTTTAGATTCACAATTTTATCCGCTGGACAACCCCTATTTTTTTAGGGCGGTACGAAGTTCGCTGGGTCAGCTAGTAGATTATAAAAAAACTGAAGATGGTATATTTATCTTTTCCAAACTTCTATTGACATCACGTCGCTCAACTGTTTTGCCTTCCCAGAATCTCTCCACTAACATTTGAAATTTATGGTATGGTATTAAAGTTCAAATTGACTTTTAAGTATTATTACGAATCGTTTGTATGGGAGTAAAGAAAAGTTTTATTTTTGACATTTTCAGGCATTTTTTTAAAATTTTCTTTTCGTAAGAACCATCCTCGTACTTCAAGGAATATTCTAAAAAAAAATCAGCCAAATCGGTCAAGCCGTTTTCATGTTATGTCGTGACAACGGAAAACGGGTTTCATTTTTATATATATAGATTGCATTAAATCCACAAAGAAAAACGTGTAGAAACTTTGTTAAAGAAAAATAAAATAAAATTAAAGTAATTTGTTATAATAAACGGGACCGTACTCAACATGCTAGAGAGCTCTTCTTTCTCCTCCTTAGTCAAAACACTTTCTAAATTACTCAAAATTACTATTATCACTGCCGAATTAGCATATAAGTAAATTAAGCAATTGTTTAGGGCATCACTTCTTAGGGGACATCAGAAATAGCAACAAAAAAAATCGCGGAATTAACACCCGTCAAAGTAGATAGATAGATAAATCATTTATTCCCCATCAGTACAGCACATAAATTCAAGTAAACAAATAGAACAATTAATTACTCGGTATGTAACTGTGTGCAGAAAAAGGCAAAAACTCAGCGATAACTTTGCTCTAAGAGCAAAGCACTGGTTTTCAGTTCTGCCTAGAAAGCGCGAAATTATTAAATTGTTATTGTTAAATTATTATAATATAAATATATATAATTATTATTATCATTCACCAAAAAATATTAATTATTACCGTTATTATTACATACTATTTTAGTATTTAGATTAATATTGACTTTTTGAATTAATATTTACCCATCAGCATTTAACACACACAAATTTTGACACACCTATTAGAAAGCGGCAGAAACCGCTAAAATACGACCACATGTGGTTAATTCTAACCTTTGCATTTCTAGTAAAATTAATTTTAAATGTTTTTTAAATGTTTGGCGAGATATGTTCCTTCTTAGTGGAGTTGGAATGTTGTTCCAGCACCTGGTCGCCTGATAGCGGAAACTACCCTTAAACGCCTGCGTTTTATGATTCTGAGTCGATAAAGGTGGCTTTGCCTGTCAGCGTCATAACGTAGTGCCGCAGTAGGGAATTTTAATTTCTCATATAAATACCTTGGACTCTTGAATTTCATGATGTCAAACATTAAAACTGCTAGATGTAAACGCCTACGCGATTCCATATTCAACATCGAAGCCCTGTTTATGAAAGGTGATATATGAGTACGTGGTGGGACATTGAAACAGAAACGACAGCAGGCATTCTGAATCCGCTGCAGTAACCTCCTACTCCCAATTAACAGCCGGGGACCGTAGACAAGATCACCATCAAACAAACACTTATACTCTCAAGATCAATTTAATCTTGAGAGTATAAGTGTTTCACAGAGGGTAATGCGATCATTTTCTGACAGTAGGCCACGTATCTTATATACAACTTTTAAGCGATAAAAACAACTCTTCACTAGGCCTAATACTTGAGACTCAAAACGCAACTGGCTGCCAAAAACAACTCCAACATTTCTGGCCTTACTGACTCTCCACAACTTCGCCACAGACTCTAACACCAACAGCACTGCCTGAGACTCTATGTAATTGTTTACTCGTGCCGAGCACCATAAATTTGGATTTTCGTGGGTTGAGAACTAAAACATTATCAGCAGACCAGGCAGCCACCGCATCCAAATCTATATTGAGCTCACAAATCGCATCGCTTATAGTGTTTGGCCTTTTGGAAACGTATAACTGCACATCATCAGCGTAACAATGATACTTGCAGTGTCTTATAGCTGTTGGTAAGTCAGCAACATATATAAGAAAGAGTAAAGGCCCAAGTATAGACCCCTAAGGGACACCACGTCTTACAAGCTCTAAACCCGAAGTCAAAAAGGACCCATCCTCTTTGCGGAGTCTTACCGCTTGTCGTCGGTCACTGAGATAACTATTGAACCATCTAACTGTTTCGGCGCCGCATCCATAAAATGGTAGTTTCGATAACAGGAGGGGTATACTGAGACAATCAAATGCGCGAGAAAAGTCAAGTAGCGCCAGAAGCGTGACATTTCTCGTATCCTGTTCCACAAGTATGTTATCCGTAACATCCAACAACGCTGTTACTGTCCCACGGCCCATACGAAACCCCGATTGAAGTTTTGGGAGAATGTTGTTCTCTTCCACATACCGAATAAGCTGACCATAAACGACCTTTTCTAAAATTATTGACATGAAGGGCAATATACTTATAGGTCTGAGGTCTTTAAATTCACACGGTGACTCGACTTTTGGTACCGCTGTAACGAGTGAAGTCTTCCACTAAGAGGGAACAGTACAAGTAATTATAGATTTGTTTATAATTTCAGTAATGACAGACAATGTACGCGGCAATATTAACAATATCATGTCCCTACTAATATCATCACAACCAGTAGCATTCGAGTTCACAGATAATATATATTTTGAAACCTCAGTTTCATTTACAGTGTGGAGCTTAAAGGGCGGTGATAAATGAAGGTGCCGATGGTATTCGTAATATGTCAGTCGCGAGATTGGCACTGTCTCTGAGCCTGGCAGGTTTAAGAAATACCTGTTTATTGCATCAGGGTCTTCATAACAATCCGGGAGGCACTCGTTCTTTCCATCACTAGGCAATATTTTTTTGTTTTATGTTGCTCCAAAATAGCTTAGGGTTATCTATGTTTGAATTAATATAATGATTAAAGAAAGCACATTTTTCATTTATAATTCCAATAGTGACTGATTTTTCATTTCCTTATAATGCTGCTTATTTGCATCTGATTTTGTCTTGCGATACCTCGAATGAGCTTTCTCTCGTATATCAGTCATTGATCGTGTCTGTTATCCAAGGCAGACTCTGTTTTGACCGATCTTTAGTCCTAATAGTTGGAGCGTGCTTGTTTAAAACCGTTAATAGTAAGTTATTTAACCGATCAACCACACTCTCCACCGTTGGTAAACTAGATAAAGACTCGCAATCCATAGCATTAACGTCGGCATTGAGTTGATCAAGTTTTATACTTTTCAAAGGTCGGTAAGTGTAAAATTTTGGCGGGACCTTTATCATTTCATGTCCCAGGGTGCCAGTAATGTTTATGTTAGAAATAGTGTTGCCCAAATTCAGTCTTGGTCTTGCAGTCTTGGTCTTGTTCTTGCATTTTTGCAAGACCAAGACCAAGAACAAGACCGCGTATTTTTAGCAAGACCGAGACCAAGACTGACCGTGCAAGACTTAAACAAGAACAAGACTAATCCGGCAAGACTCTTGCGTCTTGCAGCCAGGACTTAGCGTTATTTCACGGAGTAGTTAGATATAACAGTTCGATGTATAGGTACGCTTAGGAATTCTGTGAGACGCAAAAAACTGTATCAAAGAATATGAAAAACTGGACCTATGCGCATTACGACCAATACCATAAACATACATAGTGAATAAAAAAATATCCATTAAAATCAAACAGAGTACATGCATAGTTTTGTTTTAACCGTCGGCACTTTGATAATGCGGCATTAAAGGTTTTGTACTGAACTCACAGAGAAATTTGCCGCTTTTCGGAAGTCCATGGTAATGATACAACATTTGACACTATTTGATTTCCGCCACAGGGCCTTGGTATATTCATGCAAAATTCTAATTTCGTGTCGTGCCGTGGGACGGCACACTAATACTATTTAAAATATGAGCGAGCGAGACGGTACGACACGAACTTCGATTTTAGAATTTTAGAGTACAGGTGTTCCAAAGAATAAATAAGTTTCAGAGTGCTTAGAATGGAAACGAATACATTATACTGCTCACGCAAGTAGTATTATGATTAGATAATGGTAAGGATAGGTAGAAGAAGTCATAATAATTTATTCTAGTAAGTATATATTATAATATTGATTATATGGGTTTAAACTAATTACTTAGGTACTACTATTGTACATTTAGTCAAAATATTTCTTAAATTTCTTAAGTTTTTACAAGAAAAAACACCAAAAAGTGGTCTAATATCACCCGCTTGATAAATATTGTAGCCACTTTTAAATATACTTGAAACGTGTAAAAAAAATCTACAAAACTAATAAAATAATATAAAAAGCTTACTTACCTACTTATAAAATTTTTCGAATTTCTTATCAAATCTTCAGACAATTATTAATCTGATTGGTCTTTACTATGGCTATGTTAATTCAAGCTCACAATGTTCCAATCTAACACGTTAAGATCTAAAGTAAACTTTAATAAATAGCAATAGTCTAATAGGTAATTGCAAGACTTGCAAGACTCTTGCTGCAAGACCAAGACCAACACCAGGTGTATTGGCACAAGACCAAGACCAAGACTGGCTAAGTCTCGTCTTGTTCTTGCATTTGGGCAACACTAGTTAGAAATTTCCCTAATTTCACAATTAGTACAAATAAGATCAATAAGGGTATCAGAATTGTATGAGTGATGGGTCGGGTCCTGTACAGTTAGATCGAGGCACTGCAAAAAATCGAGCACTTTCGATACACTACTACTTGGAGCATCAAGCATATTAACATTGAAGTCACCCATGAGTACAATAGTAATAGTACAAAGTAGCAAGTAGCAAGTCATCACTACATAGTATAAAACAAAGTCGCTTTCTCTGTCCCTATGTCCCTTTGTATGCTTAAATCTTTGAAACTACGCAACGGATTTTGATGCGGTTTTTTTTAATAGATAGAGTTATTCAAGAGGAAGTTTTATATGTATAATACATGCATAATATAGTAGAGAAACACTGATAATTTTAGAGGTTTTTAATGTAAGGTCGTAAATAAACACATTTTTTGGGCTTACATTGCAAACGCTGGCTGAACCCCACGAGATAGATCAAAATAATGTACTACAGTATTGTACACCTTAAAAAGGTCTACAAAAAAGTCCGCGATGGTATATGTCTATCTCTTAAGGATAACCCACAGTAACCAATTTTTATCCTATACTTTTTACGAGAAATAATAGATTATTTACGAAGCGATTTTAAGCAATATAACATTCATCCTTATCCAATTAAGTACCTTAAATACATTGTGCATTTAATATAGAAAAATTTGGCCCTTTAACGCATATGATTTAAATGAATATTTTCGAAGATATTACAAATTTAAAATTCAGGGACATAGCGGTTCCGACGCTACCGGGCTTGGCGGCGCGTGCCTATTGTAATTGGGTATTAGAAGAATGTCATTGTATATAATACAAGCCTGAGAACAAAAACTATAGTCTACACTACAGCTTTACACCGAAGCGAAGCGAGGGCGGGCCGCTAGTATTTTAATAAATAAAAAAATAGTTACATTTTTGAAGTGATAACTTTTTATATAGTATATGCGTGGATTCCTTATGACATCACTGCCTATATTTTGCCCAAACATAAAATAACAGTTTCTGTCATATCAATAGATCATTACTAAGAAGCGATTAGTATGACTAATGGAGACATAATTTCGCCTCACAGGCCAGACATACTGAAACCCTTTTGCTCTACTGAAGAGTGTGTATTGAGCGCGGACGCGTTCAAGATAACCTCGTGGCGAGTGCTGACTGGCACCGTGACGGGCGCGGGGGAAGCGTTCTCCCCGCGCGCGCCTAAAACGGAGGAAGGGATCCCCACCGCGTTCCTGCTGCAGCCCCGCGCCGAGCTGGAGCTGGGGCTCACCTTCAGCCCCGCGAGAGCCGCGCCGCTGCTCTCCTACCTGTACCTGAGGTGAGATCTGCATAATAAAAAAAACGAGCGAGCCTTACTACAGTAGTCGCGTATGATGTGTAACATTTGAAACCTTACCTTATATTAGTAAAAAAAGAAATAAAGCCCATTACAAAAGGAATAAGCCATTTGAACATTATGTTCCAAAATCAAATCAAATAGCGCGCTTTCGCGACTTCTTGTTACACACTTCCGTCCCATTTCACGAAATACCTCCCACAAATTGCAGGAAAGCTAAAGGAAAGATGTTACACATCAATAATACACACCCTAAAGCCGCGTCACCAGCGTGTGTTTCGCCCTACGTAATCAACTTTTAACAAAACCGTCTACACAAAACTTTTTTTTTGCGTCAACAAAGTTTTTGTTTCCCGAGCTCGATGGAAAACTTACATCGTCACAATTTCATTGAGCATTCTTTTAAACAACTCCCTAGCGGGGGCTGCGTTCCAAACTTACGCTCCAAGTGCAACTTTTCACTCTGACTTTTGAATATAGACATAAAACATATTATTTTTTTGTCACATTTGACATTCATGCACCTGGATCGTAGGTTTGGAACGTAGGTAGCCCTGTGTGTTTTGTGTACGACAGCCACTTTAAGCAGTAGACGAATCAAACCACAAAGGATAAAAAAGGAATAAAAATAGTTTTGGCTCAACATAAAAAATTACGGTTGTTTTGCCGAAAGGTTCTTTTGGCCGCGGTGCGCGCTACGTTCGATTCGTGGTTATCCCAACACCTACTGCGCACCCAGCGAATAATAGAATAACTATAAGGCAGAATTTAAAATATACTCGTAGGTCTCGAATAAGGTGTCTGCATAATAATACCTGTTTTATTGTCAAGGAAAACATTATATTATTTGCGCTGCAAACTGTTTATTAGAAGGCTAATTTGCAATTCGGTAATTTCAGTTAACTTACGGTCTTGGCGAGTTAAGTTCTATTCATCTTTTGAATAGGTGAAGTACTTATCAAAGTATAAATCAGCCTTAGGAATGAGTTATGTTTGCTAACGCTTGATGGCAAGCAAAAACTCTGGGTATGCCAAGGTGTGAGAAATAACTATTAAGTTATTTTTATTTAAATAAAATGAAAAAAAGAAAACAGATTATATTTTATTCATCCCTTAAACTCTAGACAGTAAGTAAGCATAACACCTGATCAAATAAGAATAATCAATCTCAAGCGTACATTACATTAATAAAGAATCTATTTAATTTACTGTAAAAGTTTGGAATGCCAAAGCTGAATTAAAATAAAATTACGATGACTATGTATTTTAGAGGAAAAGAAGCAAGCACGAATGTTCGGCGTTCGCCGCCGATTTCTTTTTATCATATTTTCGTCGAATAATTATCTCATATCCTTGTTACCTTCACGACAACGAGGGGCTGTACTGACACCTCAATGAGCTTGGTGATCCAACGACGATACATATCTTCTCTTCGTTTATTTTTGTCAGCCACTGCCACGATGATTGTCTATGTGTATGATTGTCGGTAGAATGATATGATTAGCGTGATACCGAAGTGATCGTCGTGAATGTGCAGGAGGGTAAGATCGTGAACTCTTATTATTAATATGGTACGTCGTGGTATTTGGGTGAATCAGAACATTAGCTAATAACCAAAGTACTATTTTTGATGGGTCTCATATGGATTTCTTTGATGTTTCTGAAAGGTACCAATAGTTTTTAAATACGTTTGAGTATAGGATTGTTTCTTTATGAGCCGGCATTGGGTGTAGTCAAAGTCGCTATCACAGACTTATACACTATAATAGTTTTGTAAGGGATACCCTCTCGTAAGTGAAGCTTAGCTCAGTATTTTGCTCACACTAGTTTCGCCATTACCCCCCGAACTGAGAAGTAGTATTCTTTCCTTGTAGAAGGGTCTCCAGCTCGAGTCTAATAACTCTACTTCTTTTGATGACTTCTTATTGCACGCCTCACAACGCGTAAGCGTGTGGGAGTGCTTTACTCTCGATAGGCCGCTATGTGATGATTTTACAATATAAAATCGCTCTTATCTCCCAAGTTAGACACTAAATCAATAAAAAGGGGTGTTTTGAAAACTAGACATTTAAATTTTAAAGTCAGCGTATTTTTAATATATTTTTAGTATATACAGGTGAAATTTAATGTTTTAATGAAACTTCGTGGGATTGTTGAGTTACGTATATAGAGTATCTCTGAATTTTTTCGGATTTTTTAAAAATGATTATATATATTTTTTTGTTATATTTTAAGTCCTTTCCTCCTTTGGGGTTCTAAATAATTATTCTTTTTAAACACGCATACAGAGTAAGTAAAAAACAACTAATAAGCACTACTAAAAAAAACGTAAAAACAAGACGAACGGCCGGGAGCAATGACCGCTCTCGCCGTTGAATCGGTTGAATACCTACCTATCCGCGGTGCAAAGCGCAGTGTCAAGTTTATCCACCGCGTGTGCGTATCTTTTAAATTTGTGACAAGAGAAGGTTTGCAAATAATGCCTTGATTAGTTCTTGTTCTGTGGCCTCAATATAAGAAGTTGGATATGGTGTGTTGTTATTGTAGTGTCACGGAATACTCAGCAGAGCCACCCACAAGGCTTTACGAAAGTAGGTTTGGTGATTGATTGTGTTTACAAAGTGTATACGGGAAGTTAAAGTGAAAAAAATGAATAGGTACATCGGTCTCGGAAGTACTTTTGAATACCTGGTTATAAAAATCATTCTGACCCAAGTATGGAACTGCAATAAGTATTTCTTTTTGTTTAACATTTGCCTATTTCTAATCGTGACAAAATTATTATTTATTTTTAAAGTTTTTCTCTACTTAAGAGAAGATGACATTTGTGCTTATTATTTCAATAAAGGCATCTAAGACGACTTTATTGTATTGTGTGGAATCAAAGGAGTCAGCTGAACTCTGTGTAGGTACCTACTCACTCAACGGCTGGCGGGCGCGGTCGGTCGTTGACCCGCGGTGGAATTTTAATGTTTTTCCATTTTTTAGCAGTGCTTATTTATTAGTTATTTTTCACTGTATATGTAAGTTTGTTTGTTTAAAATGAATAACTACTCAAAAGGAGGAAAGGACATAAAAATACACATATTATAAATAAATACATGAAAAAAATATACTTCAAAAAAATCCGAAAAAAATCAGGCATACTCTATACACGTAACCCAACAATCTCACGAAGTTTCATTAAAACATTCAATTTCACCCTATATAACAAAAAATGTACTTAAAAATTATTAGTACTGCTGTCCGTTGGTCTGTGCACTTGTTTGTCTGCACGTTTTAGAAAAATATACGCAATTAATTGTAATAAATCCTTTTGAATTAATTTCCACTTATACTGAGGATGAACCCTATTTCTTATCATGATTGAACTGATAACCGCTTTAAAGATATTTCAATTTGTAACACAATGCGCGTGTAAGGCATGCAGTTTTGGATTTTCCAAATTTTAGAAAATGGTGCCACCCTTCACTAACTAAATTTCGAGACACATCTGATCTACCTGGGGTGGTTTCAAGGTCTGTGTGTCCACTAGATTGTGTCTCAGATGTGTAATTGTCCAAGGTGCAGCTCTATAGCTCTGTGTTTTAAATCTAGATGCTAGAATATATTTTTCCATCGAGGGATATCAGTATAAACCCATACAAACCATAGCTTTCGTTTTTACAGAATTTTAATTTTTATTCGGTTTACATAAAGTTTATATATAGAGTTAAGAACCTGAATTCATAATCTTTATTCTATATTGAGAATTGGGTTGGGGCAACAGGTATTGATAAATATTAAAAAGAAGAAAGCTCAAATGACGGCCTTGGGGCATGCTTGATGGAAATTATCCATCTAGACTCTCTCGACTCGACTCGAAAATTGTAATACACTTCTGAATTATACAGTTACTGTTTTAATGCCATTTTTAATAGAGGTATTTAAACATTTAAGTATTAGGGAACGTGATTTTTTACAATATCTATATTGTTGGAGTTATGGCTTTTTATATGCGAGCTGTCTTCACGGCAGCTCGCGAGCCGTTCGAATAAACGAAGCTCAATACACTTTTACAGAATTTAGAAATAAGGATTTTAAATGAACAAAAGTTTTCGTCACTTAAAATTTTAATATTTTTGTAGGCGGGAAAGTAACAGCGATCAACTCGTTCACAGAAACAACTACACTATCGTGGAGACGGTGCCGCTGTGGGGCCTCGGCGCGCACCCTAGCTTCGAGCTGGGCGGGCGCCGGCCCGGCTCCGCGGCGCCGCTGGTGTTCGAGCTGACAGAGTGCCCGCCCCCCGGCGTTGGGCTGCGGCGCCAGCTCCTCCTGCGCAACACCGGGCCCGTGCCGCTGCGCCTGCGTGACTGGCGCCTCGCCGGCCGCCCCTGCGCCGCGCGCGGCTTCCGTCTGCAGCCCTGCGGCCCGCTCGCGCTGCAGCCCAACCAGACGCGCGCGCTGCGCCTCGCCTTCCATCCCGACTATACGCTGGCGCGCGTGCCCGCCTCGCTCACCGTGCGCGCCGACGCCGCGCGCGCCGAGTTCCGCCTGCGCGCCGCCGCGCCCGCCCGCCTGCTGTACGCCTGCGCCGCCCAGCATCCGCCTCCGCCGCCGCCCTTCGACCCGCCGCTGCGCGTGGGCGGCGCCGTCCTCGCGCTGGCCGCCCTAGCGCTGGTGGTGGCGGCCGCCGCGCTGGACGCGGAGCGGGCCCTGCGCCGCGCCCGTCACGCGCGCCCGCCGCCCGCCCCGCCGATGCACGCCCCGCTCGACCTGCGCGCCGCCGCCCGCGTGCCTCTCGCGCCCCAGCCGCCCGCCCCCGCCCCGGCCCCGCCCGCCCGCCGCCGCCGCGCCCCTCGTCGCCCGCCCCCGCCGGACCCGCGGGCGCCACTGGCCGAGCGCCGCGCCTTCGAGCGGTGGCGAGCGGAGGTGCTGCGCCGCGCCGACCGCGCCGAGGAACACTCCGGCGAGGACGCCGCCGCGCCGCCCCCGCGCCGGACGCCCTCCCCGCCGGACGTTGATCCGGATCATACGCCCGAGCTGGACGAGACAGGGCCCCCGTCCAGCGACGAGGCGGGCCGCTCGGGGGACTCCTCCGTCGGGTCGGACGAATCGCCCGGCGAGGAGCCGGAGGAGCGCGACGACAGCGAACGGGAGACGCGCTCGGCGCCCGCGGAGCACCCGGCGGACGACCCTCCCGTTCCGGCGGAGCCGGAGACGGACCCGACCGGACGAATCGTGGAGTACCGGAACGAGACGAGACCCCGCGAGCCCCCGCGGCGTCCCGAGCGGCGAGCGGAGACGGCGGAGGCCCGCGCGCGAGCTGCAGCAGCTCGGGCGCACGCTCGGCGCGCGGCGTGCGGGCGGCGGCGCGGGGGCGGAGAGCGCTCGACGGCGGGCGGGACGGGCGGCGCGGGCACGCCCTCCCGCAGCCCGCCCGCCCTGCCGCCTGCGCCGGAAATGCGCGCGCCCGCCGCCCTGCGCTGGGGCGCGTCGTGGAGCGAAGTGGTGGCGGCGGGCGGAGCGCCAGCGGTGCCGGGCGGGGCGGCGGGGCCGCCGCTGCCCCCCATCGGGTCGGACGTCCGGCGCCACCAGCACGCGGAGGAGCGCGCGGACCACTCGCTGTTCTACTTCAACGGCGAGCAGCCCCCGCCGCCGCCCCCCTCGCAGCCCCCGGAGCGGTTCCCCTGGCGCGCCCCGCCCGCGCTCGACCGCCCCCAGTATCCCGCCCCCGTCGTGCACGACTACCTGAGCGATTTCGGTGAGTGGCCGACGTTCTTATCTCTAGTAACAAACTTAACTTTTAGAAACTGTTTTCCTGTAGTCTATCCGTTCTATTATTATCTTTTTGACAGATCGATCGAAGTAAAGATAGTGATACCCTATCACGTAACTCGTTCGATTTAAAGCTATAATCGATTTTATTTTTTTATTATATTGATTTAGGTAACAAACGGTCTCTAACAGTAATATTTGCTTAAATTAAATAATGTATGACTAGACCTATAGTACCATAACTTAAATTAATATTTTGTTTAAACAAATTGAGTCTATGAGAAACTTCTTAGTTACTGTTTACAAAATGTTTCAAAATCTTTACAATCTACTAGTACAACATCTCGCGAACCAGTTTTCTGTAATTATTATAAGTACTTGAAAATATTGTCAATATTGGTCAGATTTTTGTAATAAAAATCAAGTGATCGCCTCAAATAAGAGTTTTTTGTGTAATTTGTGCGATATGGCGGGACATAAAATGTACTCTTAGACCGTGAGGAGGGACGAGGAACCTAAAGGTGGATTTTATCTAACAAATTAGTGCAATCAATTCGGCAATTAACTATTTTATATAATACCATAGTGTCCAAAAAAGTACGTCTAATTTGTAATGGGGTTATGTTATATTTTGAGGCACAAGTCCTGTAATCGTTTAAAATATGTTCATCACGATAGCTTTACAAAATAAGTTTTTAAAATTATTAATTTTAAAAACTTATTTTCTACTTTTACGATGCGATCAACGTGAACAGCATAGTGTGGGCTCCGAACCACACTACCGAACTCTAAAATACTGCGTACGTGAGTGTTAAATAAAGTTATTAAAGTTTTTGTATTTTTGAACGTTTTCCCTAAACGATTTATTAAACCAAGTTGTTTAAACGCACGTGATACTATATTATCAATATGAGTATTGAAGTGAAGTTTGGAGTCCAGAGTTACACCAAGGTCACGTATGAAGGAGACTCTTTTTATAGTGCTTCCAAAGAAGTTATAGTCACAAACAATCGGATGATGCTTACGGGTAAATGTAATAGTATAGCATTTGTCAGTGTTTAAGAAAAGCTGATTTCTTGAACAGTAATCTTGAAATCTACTAAGATCATTTTGCAGCTCACAATAGTCATTAAGAGAGGTAATTACTTTAAAAATTTTAGTGTCATCAGCATAGAGCAGATGGTGTGAATTTACAAAACAATCTTTAAGGTCATTTACGTACAGAGTAAAAAGATATGGTCCCTGATATGTATGCGTAAATAAAAGGCTACCGTTTGGCTAGACGTTTATTAACGGACTGGTGGGGACAGCTTCGACACTCGGCTGACAGATAAATAATTATTCGATTACCTTCTAATATACTACAGTCCCAAATGCGACCCTTGAGGAATGCCCGATGGTATATTAAGAAATCCAGACTGATATCCCCGTAAAGCTACTGCCTGACTCCGATTTGAGATATACGATTTCACCCACCGCCAGAGGTCGCCGCGTATACCGATTGCATATATTTTTTCTAATAACAAATCATGATTTATTTTATCAAAAGCCTTTGAAAAATCGGTATACACGGCGTCCACCTGATGTCCAGAATCCAAAGCATTTATAATAAGATCCGTATATGAAATTAGATTGGTCTCCACACTACGACCACTGATAAACCCATGTTGCTGAGAAGAAATAAGTTGTTTTCTTTGCCAAGTCAAAAAATTCGTAACGATTTTTTCAAATATTTTTCCCATTATACAGAGCTTCGATATGGGCCGGTACTGCCGCACATCATGTTTATCACCTCCCTTAAATATGGGTGTTATTAAAGCTCGCTTCCAAATGTCTGGAAAACAACCTTCGGAGAGTGACTTGTTATATATAAGGGTCAGCGGGACAGAAAGCTCCTTTGCTAATTGTGATATGAAAAAAGGGTGGATATTGTCAGTACCTGAGCTCTTATTTATGTCTACATGCTTCAGTGCTTTAAAAACTTCTTCCTGAGAAATGTACAAACTAGGTAAAATTAAACAAGTTTTCGAGGAATTTTCTAAACTTCTTTGAGAATCACTGGTGCTAAGTGCAGAATCATTTGTGACAAAAACAGAATTGCAGTAGTTATTGAACATTTCACTTTATTCCTGATAATCTGTAGACTGACTATTATTATAAGACATACACGGAGGCAAATCGTTTACACAACGCATTGATTTGGTATATGTATAAAAGTACCGCGGACATGTGTTTATTTTTTCTTCAGCGTAAGAAATGTAATTTTCATAACATTCAATCTCCAATAGTTTGACTCGAGCGCGCAGATATTTAAACTCTTGATAATCACGAGGATTATTATATTTTTTCCATCTAGAATGCACTGTCAGCTTATTGCGAATTAATTTAATAAGAGCCCGGGAGTACCACGGTGGATTGTTTGTATGAGTATTGACAACTTTTTTAGGAATATATTTACTAATTAAATTATTCAGTACATAATAATTTTATGCTAGAACATTGTTTAATCGATTATAAGTATTGAAATTATTTTAGTTATCAAAAATACTGGTGTTTAATAAATTGATACCGACGCTATTCGTCGTCATATATATGACTATTATCTAAGAAAAGAAATCGCAACCTTAACAAAAATGGTTGTAACTGTGCTCACTGCGAAATAGTGGCTTGTTTCGCGGTCAAAAGTTCTCGTTAGCAAAAGTGTTACGGCAAATTGGATTTTACTTTAAAAAATCAGATAACAGGAAGATTTTGATGGAACGTCACGATATTGTTCTTGCTCGATGCGCATTTTTGAGACAAGCGAAAAATATAGAAGACTTGCCCAATGTTGTTTTTACCAATGAGACCTGGCTTAATCATACAGCCTCTGAATCGTGGACTGACGATCCTGTTGCTCAACTTTCGCTGTACCTATTGGTAAAGGCCAACGCCTTATCATTTGTCACGCTGGAACATCAAAACGATTTGTGGCTGATGCTCTATTAGCGTTCAAATCAAAAAAGTCTGGTGATTATCACGAATGTGGTGAGGTGATGAACGCGGAAGTTTTCAAAAAATAGTATAGGGAAATGCTGTTATCGTTAGAAGAGCCTTCGGTGATATTTATTGATAACGCACCCGTATCATTCTCGGCAAATAAATAAAATGCCCACACAAACAAATACCAAAGCAGAGATTATTAACTGGCTTCGTGCTAATGGAAAGGATTTGGACGGCTCCTACTTAAAAGTATAATTAGTAAACATTTTAAATGAAAATAAACAACCAAAACGGTATGTCATCGATGAAATGGCAGCAGAATGTGGACATATTGTGCTTAGACTCCCACCTTACCATTGATTATATTTATGGCACAACCTTAGTTATCATTATGTGTGGCACATCACTAAGTGGGCGGTACTCGTCCATGAAGTACAATATTATTTGTATGCCATTTTAACGTACACAATACAAAATTTCAAAAAGATAATCGAAAGATAATAATAGAATTGACAGACTAGTCGAAACTGAGTGAGACCCCGGTCGTTATTAAAATTGGGACCACGTTCTTTATCGATCGATTCTCCGTTTCGCTTTGACAAATTTATGAAACTTGGAGTTTCATAATATTACATAAACATTTCGAAAGTACTTTTTTTTCCCCCTACTCCCAACTTCATGAAAAAATGTTATATACCTAAATCTTTTACACATAAATGAAAAGTTGAGAATAATAGAAATCAAAATATATATATTTCTAATAAATATATTAAAATAAATTTGTGAAACAATTAGTTTTTAGTAACAAAGCAAAGCTGATTATCGTATCCTGCCTTACAAATAGGAAAAATTGCTCATCTCCTTTTATTATAGTTTAAATCGTCGCCTACTGAGTGCTATCAGTATGGTCGTTACAATATATGAATTATACTCATATGAGTCAATTTTGGTGTACCACAGGGATCCCATATATTACTTAAAGTCTTCGTAAATTCTATTCTCATTTTTAGTAAATAATTCAAAATTCGAGCCACAGATTAAAATTAGCTACACATTAAATTGTGTGGCCTTAAACAGTTCCTCCAGGTGCTCATTCGGGCCTCATAACGTTGTCAAAGTATAGTAAGGATGGTTTGGTTGTTGCAGACGAACAGAGCCCCGGCGCGTACGGGTCGGTGTGGGCGGGCGGCGCGTGGGCGTGGGGCGGAGGACTGGGCGTGCGGCCGCCGCCCGGGTTCAGCGCGGCGCCGGTCCCGGCCGCCCCCGCCCCGCACACCCCGCGTGCCTACGACCCCTTCCGCTCCCTCGCTGCCATCTGGGCCCCCGGTGCAGGAGCCGGTGCCGGTGCCTTCGATTGGAGGACCGCCGCCCCGCCCGCCCAAGCCCCGGACGAACCCCGTCCGCAACCGGACGAGTAGGCCCGCCCGCCCTCGCCCCGCATCTAGTCGCGACGCTCCGGCGTCACCCGCTCGGTCGTCTCTCCGAAGACTGAATAAACTTACGTTTCTGAGCACTATTGGTTTCATTGCAGTGCGATTCACACTATATATGCCGATTGTGAACTTGGTACCGAGCCCTAGTAGGCTCCGTGAGATTCGATAAAATCCGCGCGGACCTTAATTTCGATTACTGTAAATTGACTTGCACTATCTTCACAGCCGCCATTGAGTTTGCATCGTACTATACCTACCCCTCGCATTGAGATCCTGTTCCCCCTTGTAGGGAGAAACTGGTAACCATTGATATAAAACTGGTTACCCCCTCGTTTCACCGAGAAACAATTCATATACTAGTTTTAAACAAAATTTGTAGAATACATGTTGTGACCGTTCGAAACATTACTTCGTTTACACTGCATATAAGTAGTATCTTTAGGTGCTCTCCCACTATCTGTGTTGTCGCGAACGAGGCCGCGCCGCGCAGGGTTGCCAAACGTATGATAACTCAAACATTCAAGATTTAGCAGTATATACATGATACTATCTCGTACACTTTGATATGAAATTTGAACAATGTTGACTGTGCGTGTCATGTAAATTAAATGAGCCACAGCCGAAGTATCGAAAAAAAATTATTTATTCAAGAATAAAAATTACAATATTACTTTTTACTAATTAAACTATTGACCCTATCGATGCTTGAATAGAAGTGGCCGAGTCGATGCCTGCAGTCCGGCGCCCCGACGGTGACACGTTCCGCTGCATCAGCTCCTCGTGCCAGCAATATACGTCAATCGGTTGTTTGTTGAAATTAAATTGGGGACAGCTCTTCGTCAGCGTTTCCGGTAGTGAGTGACGGCGTAACACCTCCCCTCCCAGTTCAGCAACTATTTGCGAACGCTGAGTGAAAATGTTGCTGGAAAATTCTTGTCTCGGTTTGAAGTTTCTGGGATCGCATATTCCTGGTTTCCAATTTTCCTGGTCTCAGTAGTGTTTTCTTGGTTTAAGGGTCTTCTTCTGAAATACTTCTTGATGATTATGGCAGCAACGGTAAGAATTAGGATGATGGTGATTATATAAAATGGTATTGTAGTATGATAAGTCCTTCAGGGATCTTCTCGATTGTTACAGGAGTCTGTAGCATGATGTCATCTTGAATCTTGTGCAGATTCTTCAAGCTGATTGAATTCAGGTTGATGTGGGTTGACGTGGATGCTTGCGTCTTGACATCATAAGGTAATTACGTCTAATAAGGGCCGGGTTTTTGGAAATCGAAATAAATCAATGTTTGGAAGTGTGATAATTAGTACGACGTCATGATCAACCAAACTGTTTTTATTTGAAAAGAAAACGTTGCACAGAAACAACACACGAATGACCATTTATTTACAAAAAAAGTTTTTTAAAAGCTTGTTTATGGTCCTTATTGTGTACTAGGGCTCGAATTAAGGTCCATGATTGAACTGCAAGATTTCAGACGTTGAGTATCAGTAAAAATAAATCTTTAGATAGCAACGGCTTTAAACTACTTTCAACTTCATGGCTTTCCAATATTAAAATGGTAATTCATATAATTTAGTATTGTGGCCCTTATAAAGTCATACGAAATATATATAAGTTGTAACTTATATATTTTCTAGCTATAAATGAAACAAATTGAAGGTTTGTGCAAATTTTTATTAATTTTACGAAAGACAATCACTAAAAGTTACTAATGAGTTATTTTTTCAGTCTTAATCTTGGGACCTTATTAGGTATAACACTTATTTAATCATAGTGTGGACCTTATTAAGTGTTTCTAACAGGTAACACGGTAACCACTGAACTTAAAGGTTCAGTGTGTATATACTTATCCTTATTAAATATATTTTCTATTCAGTAATCAAAATAAACGTATATAAATGCCACTTGCTAGGCCAGGCTGCTTATTTACACTCATATAAGTCATTTATGTAACTGATCATGCCTATTTTAAAATATCGTAAATCAATAAGGGCCGGCCCTTATTTGTAGACAATAACTTGGACCTTCTTAGGCAATCACATGTGTCCTGAGAAAATGAAACAAAATTTAGATAAATAAGCAATAATAGTAACTTATCCCGTCAATCCACGTTCTGAAAGTATTTTAACACTACTATTGCAAAATTATTACATAACACCGAGTTTTATTACTGAAACAAAGCAAAATTGGATCAGAATATTTTATTCGTTCAGTCACGTCGACTGCACCTGAGGTTACACACAGAGCCACTGCCAAAATGGCCGGCGCGGAGGCAATGAACGTCGGTGCGCTTTTATGATTGGTTACTGGGGAGGCGCTGCGCAAAATCAGTTTTGGTTTAAATATTAAGTGCGGGAAGTTTGAAAAGGTGGACCTTATTTGGAACCGGCCCTTTTTAGGCGCACTTACCTTAATCGATTTTGAGGATCTTCAGTGGCTGTCCTCTGACTTCGTCGTTAGAATTTATAAGGGTGATTTCATCTGTGCGCAGCGAACACAAAAGTGGAATCGTCAGTAGATAACTGCCCTGCAATGTGTTGTAGTTTTCATCTCCACATTTTGTTTGAATCTTAGTTGGATGCGGGAACGACTGACGTAGTGACGACTGTCCAGTTGTTCAGCAGCCTCTTTATGTAGGTGAATTGTTGTAAGATTGCAGCTTCTGTCAAGAGTCTTGCTTGAGATGAAATTTTGCACGCAGTCAGCATCTGTCCGGACGTGATGATTCATCTTCTCTTCGCAGAGATACTGGTTGGAGCTCAACTTCGGGCATTCAGCCTCAATGTACATGAATGCTTTCCCATTGGTTGCTATGTAAGGATAAGGAGATATAAAGGCTTGGGAATGTTCGTTGGGAACTACAGCTAATCTATAAAGGATAAATGTCTCTATTGAAGCTATCGGGAATTTAAAGACAATCACTAACTTCCGTTCATCATAATAATAGCCGGTTTTAATTATGTCATAGTATTCTCTTAATTCTAAATCTCTATTATATACTTTTCTAAGTTTACCTAACATATTACCTAAAATATCTATTCCTATCATACTATGGTGTGTACCCGTTTTTCTGGTGAAAGATAAAATATTTTCTTATCTTAATAATTCTTGAGAAAGATCTTCTACATCTTCACTCATTATAGCCAAAATTTGAGCTAGCCTGGCGAACTTCATTAGAGTATAATCCCGTTGAACATCACTATCAAAAAGAATCTGTAATGTATTATTAATTTTACTTTGATTTTCAATTATTTTAGATAGAATACTTGTATGTTGAGCCATCCATTCTTTACTAAGACTGATATGGTTATTTATCTCGTTTGAGTTTTTAATCTGATTATTTTGTAAAATGTCTATTACTTTGTTAAATCTAACAGCATCTGTGTAGTCCAAATTACCTGTAATACTTTTGATAACAGATCCTAGACCATCTACAAGACCTCTCTTGTAACGGCCAGGTAATAAGCTTTTTAATTGTATAGCTACCTTAATTAGTTTGCCACTTAGATACTCTGTTTGATATTCATACAAACTATAAGTGTCATTTGGCATATGATGTCTGAAATTAAATAATTGAGTCTGTAAGTTGGAAATAGTATTACCAATATCGTCTAATTTAATATACTGAAGGAAGCTATGATAGTGATTAGTCAGTCGAGTCAAACCAATTCTAAACGGAAGTAGCCCTATACTCCTATTAAGATTGTCAAACTTAATTTCTTCACTGGCTGACAAGTTGGATCACGAGAGTCCACAGGATTCTGCAACAATTTTGATGACTTAGGCACGCGTTTAAGTCTAGATTTAGCAACAGCACCACGTTTTTTTGATGTATAAATGTGTATCGGCAAATCAGCTAAGACAGTGTCCTGTGTGTATCGTGGAGCTAGTTTCTGTCTAGATGCGGCAGGGTTTTTTATGAATACTTGCTGTTGAGGTTCGTACTCCTCTTCAGGTTCGCGATCTTCATTACGGTTCTCTATAAGATCGGTGCGGTTAGCTAAAGAGGATTCATTGATAATTTCGTATACAGTCTTCATTTGATCCCTATGTGTCTGTATGTATTGTTGTAAAAGATGTGTAGTCAAGTCAATGTCCAGTGGGTCCCTAGGGTCAAAGTGACCATTGATAATATCGTACGGTCGACATCTCGTAAAACTGTGCACCGAACTATTGTAGGCTAATAATGCATATGGCATGAGGTTTATTACTGATTCATTTTTATGTTTCAGGGAAAGAATACGCAAGTGTTCTAGCAGGGTCGAATGAAATCTTTCTATATTGCCATTGTCGTTTGGCCTATGTGGCAACGTTTTATGGTGAGTTATCTTATGTAGTTTCAAAAACTCTGTAAATAGCTGATTCGTGAACTCCGTTCCATTGTCCATAATTATGGTTATGGGAAGGCCGTGGTGAGTACAGAACTGTAACAGAGCTCGTAAGATGCTAAGTGCTGTACCGTCCCTCAGGAGATAAGCTTGACTGTATTTGGAAAACACATCAATGAAAGTTAAATATTTTTCAGATTGTACTGTGAACAGGTCTAAATGAACTATTTCAAATGGTTTGCTTGCAGGTGGGACTATATTAAATTTTTGTCTTATAGGATTACGGTCGTATTTGGCTTGACCGCAGAGAGTGCAATCGTTAATGTATTTACTTATGTGCTCTCTCATTTTTGGCCAGTAGTACTTTCGAGATAGTGAAAGATAGCATTCATTTATTCCCCGGTGGTTAGTTTTCCCGTATTGATAATGTTTTATAATATCCTGTTGCCTCAGGTATTCTTTTGCGTTTTCTAATTCGAATTTCGTTAGAACTAAATTCATCGCGGAACTCTTAAAGTTGTCTTGGATAATTGGGATAATTTCGTACATAGATAAGGGCGGATCTATCAATAATGCAGTCCTAACCTTTGGGTTCACATACCCTTTTACGGCATTAATAACGTCTTCTGTAAGTTGTAGCATTTATCGCTCTCACCAACCAACCCAGGGGTTTTTGCATGAAACTAAAGACTAAATTTTTATACTCAGGGCGCCGAAATACTGATATTTGTGGGAGTTAAATTATTAAGAGGCTTACTAACTGTTGGGCGTTTCTTAATGTCTCCTACTACTACAAAATGTATTTGCTTATGAAATTTATTCAAAGGTTCATCTGTTATCGGAATCTCGAGAATTGGGTTTTCATTACTGGTGTGGGCTGTTTGTGTTGTAGAACCGTCCACAGAAGGTGGGTTGGCTACAGAAGGGTTAACTATTATAGAACTAACTTCCTCATTGTGAACCTCAATTCGCGATAGCGCGTCGGCATTGGTGTTACATTTGCCTTTTTTGTACTCTACCGTGAAATCGTACTCACTGAGTTTGAGCCTCCACCTAGTCAATCGCGAGTTAGGCTCTTTTATGTTCATAACCCACTGAAGGGGCTTATGATCAGTGACAATTTTAAATTTACGGCCAAACAGATACGGTCTAAAGTATTTTGTGGCCCACACAATGGCAAGGAGCTCCTTCTCGATCACACTGTAATTAATTTCGCTTTCGGTTAAGGTCCGAGATGCATATGCTATCGGTTTAACAGAACCTATTTGTCCTTGTGACAGCACAGCTC